AAATAATTTTTGATGAGCTGTCGAAGGCACAACTCCTACTCCATGAATCCACTCTCTCGCCAAGTAATGCATTGAAATTGGCATGCGACCGGACCACAACAAACACAAGTAGGTCTCGAGTAAGTGCCCACTTTCACGTCTAAGGCAATCATACCTTCGAACTTGACGTCTTTCCGCTGAAATCGAAATCATAATATTGTGCTTAACTAAATCTTTTAGTTCAATGCCAAATTTCTTTAGCATAGTAATTGGCAGTATATTCATCTGCCGCTCCACCATCGACAAGGACTCTATTCACCATCTCGTCCTTGGATCTCGATGTTCGGCAATAATGGTTTCAAGTGGAACCTCATTTCCTCGGATGGGGGATCGATGAAAACAGCTGTCTCTATGAGGAACTTCACATGAGGTTTGTGTGACCCATGTTATTTTTGGCCTTATGTTTTCTGAATAGAAGTCATCTTCTCGCTCGACATCTCTTTTTTCTTGATACTCTTTGTATTCGCTCACATATTCCACAGGTAAAATTGATATTACCCCGATTTGATGTTCGTCCCAAGTACCATCATCCTTGTCATCGAAAAATTCTCTTGTATAATGACTCTCTATTGGTGCAACATTTCCTTCAAAGTTTCTGTAATTATTCCAATAGGGGATCCTTCCTCCTCTTTTCCAGGGCCTTCCTCGAATCTTCTATGGAACGTCGGGAATCTAGTGATCGACCCATCATCATACGAGAGTCTTTCGAAGACATTATTACTTTGAAGTCTACCTCTTCCTCCTCGAGAAGGGTACATCTCTCTTCTAATCCACTCGCCTCCGATTTTCACTAACACCTGAGCCAACGGATTTCGCTAACTTTCTTCGATAGTTGGTCTGATCGTTTGCTCTATTTTGTCATTTTTCCTTTTATTTTGGTTCTCGATCTTCTTCATCTCGTTCGTTCGAAAGCTTTGGCAGCCGATTTATCGAACACCGCACCGCATCGTGGGCATAATGACACATCTTCGTCTTTTTCCTTCTTTCTATTCAGAAATTCAATGAGAGAGTCTCCTGATCGAGGGTATATTTCCTTTTCGAACTCTTTCTCGAATTCACTCAGGTCAAATTCCATATCTTCCTCAGATACATCCATCCTGACATGCTTAGGATCGATGTCTTCAGTGACATCTATCATGCCTATGAAGGCTGAATGTGTTAATCGGACATCATCAGTAATGCCTGTTTGGGATTTGAGGTATCCTACTTGAGCCTCGAATGGACTCGTGTCAACTTTCATTATCATTTCTTCGAACCTCAACCTTCCTTGGTCAATCGCATCTTGGATGGTGTTCCTGAAATGTATACAATTGTTAGTCCAATGTCCATACACATTATGAAATTTGCAATATTTTCGACCATTCTTTTGTTCTGCAGATGGCAGTTTATGATCATCACTCAACTTAATCTGTTTGTCTTTCAATAAAATATCAAAGATTTTGTCCGCTTTTGTTACATCGAAGGTATATGTTCGATTTGCCATTTTATCTTTTACTTCATTCTTTTGTAGCAATTTACAGGTATATGGAGCCCCTACTTTGAGTTCTGCTAAGTTTACTTTCTCATCGACAATTTCTTCAATATCATTTTCTGTCATATTATCTGTCTCGTATACTTCATTTACGTATGCTATTCTTTCCTTTTTCAAAGGTTTCTCATATTTCTTATACCTTTGTTTCTCATACTCTATTTGTTCCACTCTTCTCACTTTATCGCCTAATTGAGCCATGTCATTCAATGGTAAATTGACTAGTTTTTTCCTAATCGAGAATTCTAAACCCGCAGAGGCCATTCGACTAATTCATATTCAGGAATTTGAGTGAAACATCTCGATTTCATTTGTCTAAATCGATTCAAATAATCATCTATGCTTTCATGATTGTATCTTTTTATATTCATCAAGTCGATGAGACTCACTTGAGTTTCTCCTCTAAAGAATTGCTCATGAAAATTTCTTTCCAATTGCAGCCCAATTATATATCGAATTGGGTGGCAATGACGTGAACCAAGTAAAAGCACTCTTAGTCAAAGAACTAGGAAAATATTTCATTTTTAATTCTTCGCTCGTCGCTAAATCCCCGCATTCGATCCGATATCGAGCCACATGCTCGATAGTCGATTCACCAACTTCTCCAAAGAAACTTAGTGAATTTGGGTACTTTATATCCTCGAGGCAATTCGTCTCGAGAATTGCATTCGGAAAGGGAGACACAAAATATGTCCGATTGGGTGGTCCAAATTCCATCCCTTGTAAATTCATCCTTTGTCCCAACATATTATTCCGATTGTGTATATTTTGAAATCCTTCGTTCAAATTCCCATAAATATCATTCCTCATATGTTGATACTCATTTCCCATACACCGTCGTTGATCATTATTTCTATTTCTTCTCAATAGATATGGGGGATTAATATTAGTATTCTGATTAGCCTGATTTTCTATCCTCGTTTGTCGAGGCACAGCCAATGCATCCCCGATTCGTGACATTTGGTCTGCTAATATCTCAAAGCTAGCAGTAGTGTTTTGCACTAATGGATTTAAGACTGTAGTCAATTGTTGTGATAACATATTCACCATTTCAAAATTACTCTCATCCATTTGTTGTCTGAGTACCCCTAATGAATTACTAGATATTCCGGTACCCATGTTTTCGATAGAATCAAAATTAGATCGATGATATTCTCTATCGAATACATATCTCCCATGATCTAAGTATCCCCTCTGATCTAGATTTGGAGGTATCTGTTGTGTGCCTACATTCTGTCCATTCCCTGAATTCTGGGGAATTACTAAGTTTTGCGACGTCCCTAAATTCGGAGGGATTCCAAAATTTTGTGGCATACCTAGTGTTTGGGACATTCCTAAGTTATATCTCGAATTCCTATGCGTTGAAGAAGTTCCAGCCCCACTCACATTAAGTGAAAACCCGGACGGTCTTATACTCATGCGTGGCCCTACATATGTGGTTGTAGGGTTTCCTATAGTTTGCATATTATTTGGTATCACCGTACTAGATCCTACTTGGGTGTTTGCTAATGTACCTGAATTTTGTTCACCACTCACAGGTATCGACATGCTCACAGTTGTCGATACTACAGGTATGTTCTCATTATGACTTTGCCCCCCAGTATTTGGTGGGTGTGATCCATTTAATCCCTCACTGTTACCCTGGTTATTCGATGAACTCTGACTCATGACCCTCCCACTCCTTAATCTCATACAGTTTCGAACTAACCAATTTTGTGTTTCTCAACACAAGATTCCCCTACCTGGCGCGCCAATTTGTTTCTGGTGGAATTTCGATCGATTTCGATTCTAAAGGTGTCTCGGTCTTAATCGAAATCCTACCACGTAAGTTCTTTTTACTTAGGCTAGCAATTTGATTTTCAATCGAAAACGTGTATGAGAATAGAAGATCACAGGATATCGAAAGCGCTGTTTTTGATGTTTTGTATTTAAGGTCTTGAAAGCATTAAGACTATCGAATCGAAAAAGCAGAATGTTAAATTGCGAGGAAACGTAAAGTGCGAAAACCCCAAACTTGCATTAATTGTAAATAGCAAGAAATCGAAAACAACGCAAATATAAATGACAAGAAATCGAGATTGCAAGAAAAGTAAATGACAGGAAATTGAGATTTGCAGGATGTTAAATAACAGGAAATCTAAATGCAGAAACTCAAATTTTCATTGAATTGAAATGGACAAGGAATTGAAAATACAGAAACATAAAATTGCTGAATTTAAGTTGCATCAAAATAAATTACCAAGGAAAATACAGAAAGCGGTAAATGTACTCAGTGAGCAAGGAAATCCAGATTGCCAAGAGCTTCATGGTGTTCGTCGTTTCTCCGGTAGACTTTTCACTACTGATCCTGTTCTCTGCCAATTTCTGCTCCCCCCCTGTTCCTTTCTCCTTTGCTCTATTTATAGGGCATCCTTCAAGCCTTCCGAGAGCAGTTAACGCGACTGCTACCACGTTCTACGTGCGTATGGCGCTTTATCTTCTATAGTTTCCCACGTTCTCACGATCTCCGACTTTTTCCCATGATTTCAAAACTCGCTCTCTATACGTGCATTCGACTTACTTCCCTTCACAATTTGGCCAAAGTCTCGATGTCCACATTGGCTTTCTTTACTCTCGATTCTGTATTTTTCGAGAACTTCGAATTGCTCACGATTCCTTTTTAATCCTGGTCTTATATGACTTAGTTTTTATTCGACAACAGTCATTTGATTATAATTCATTCGATTCTCGATTGTGTTTCTCGATGCTATATGCTACGTATTTCTAATTAGACATCGAATGAACTTTTGTTTATCTTATCGAGTCATATTTCTTCCCTTCGATTTCGATCGCTTTTCTCGATTTGCCACTAACACACTTATAACAATCTCTTATGGAAATATTACGTAATGATTTTGAAATTATAAATAGTTGAATGTTATACACACGGAACATTAAATGGCTAGTGTAATTTATTTTTAGAATAACGTTAATCAACGTCTCATTAACCTTTAATTATCACGTAATGTTTATAATTTTTTATTTTCTTTGGTGTCATTTTGGTTGTTTTATTTATATATTTTTCTTATTTTTTAATATAGTGTGAAGTGTGAAAAGAGAGACGGTGTAAGCTGGAAAGAATAAAGTGTGAAACAGAACATCGTGCATTGAGAGTCAGAATAAGAAAAAAAAAATCATATCGAACTTGAGTTTTGAATCACCCTCGTACACTTTCTCTATATATTTTTTACCACCCCTTCTTATTCTTTGAGGGAAACATCTAAGAGTGGGTTTCATTTTTTCCTCTTCAGGTTCACTCGTGGCCCCAAAATCACATGGTGGCACAACACAGAATCTCCACCATTAGACATTAAATATCAACCAATCCTTGTCCTATAAATACCCTTCTCACCCTCCCGTTGTTGCTCAATATTTGTCCATTTCAGAGATAGTCATGGACAGAACATTGCTCCTGAAACTGCTCACTCTTGTTGCTCTCCTAGGATGTTCATCAGCTTCTGATCATTTGGTTAATGTCTCCAAGTTGGAGATGTTTGTGGATGAGCTTCCAGATATGCCCAGAATCCATGGCTATCACGTTTTGGATGGTGTCCCAAAATCTAAATCTTTCAAGATTGGGATGTTCAAGAAGAAATGGGTATGTGTGATTTTCTTTTTTCTTTTTCAGTTCATCATTAAAGTATTGAATTTTATATTCATTCACCTTTGTCGTTTGGGTACCATGCCAAATTCCTTGTTTGCTGGTTTCGATGATTGCTAGGCCGAGACCACCACGGCCCTTCAATTCTCAAGTACAGTTTTTTAAGATTAAACTTTTAATTTTGAAACCACTCCTTAGGCTAGTGTAATTTGGTGTGGTTCACATGTTTTCAGTTAACCTATAATGCTTCAAGTTCAAATCAATTATGTATATCATTCAATGGTTAAATAATTCATTTTGTGTGTGCAATTTTTACACCTTTTTTTATTAATTAATCTATGTGCAGTATCTTTATATCCTTTTACCCCAAATTGGATTTCCCTGAGGTGTGATACACTGACAGTGATACACAAAATAAATATTGACTGAAATCTGTTTGAAACAATCTCAGTCTATCGTCTAGTTACAATAATGCTTGCATGGGTTGCTCTTTGACTAAATTCCATGGCTTGAAGAAAAATTTGTGTGTGCAAGTTATTATTGTTTGTTCATAAAATAGATATTGGTCATTCTCTTCCTTGTTTCCTTTCTGCACAATTATCCACCTTATCTTTTTCTCACACATTCAGGACTAAATGACATTTCTACCAAATTCATACTGAAATTTTCTGGATTTTGATGATACCGTGAAAATTTGAATTATTGATTACTACATCTTGGTGTTGCAGATCTAAGATTCCTTGTTAAATGGATTCTTCTGTTTTTCATAAATGGTTCTGTTCACAAGTTTACTGGGGCAGGCAAAAGTTACTTCTCCCCAAAATTTCCAATCAGAATTGTCAACGTATGCACTCATTGAAGGCAACTCAATCTTTTCACAAAATTTTCGTTTGTTTTCTTGTTTTTTAGTCTATTCTCTCTCTCTCTCTCTCTCACTGTGCCTTGCCCAACTCAATGTTGCAAATACATGCATACCCTTTTTTAGTCAGTCAAATTACGTAAACTGTCTCCGTATGAAATGCCAGTTTGTAAAAGATGCTTTAGTATGGTGTTTCAATGGTCCCCTTTTTTCTTCAAAAGAAATTATTTATGTTAAAATCTGTAGTACCTATGGTAGTTGTCAAAAAAAATAATTGTTACTTTTTAGCTGATTTAAATATATATATATATATATATATATATATATATATCACCTTAGAAACTTAGCAAATGCATTTTTTTTGGCATTTCACTTTTAATCGTTTCCTCGTGTAAACCGAAAAAGTCGCTTTTAATCATTTCTGTTTCATGATCATTGGTGATGGCACCTCTCAGGAAGATTCAGTGGTTTTTAATCAGATAAATATTGGTGATTCAAGTCTATTTAGTAATCCTCTAATGAAACTTGTGTTGAGGTAAGTAAGATTGAGGTGCCGTCTACTTCTGAAGATGTTTTAGTTAGAAAAAGGCCAAACAAATACCACCCTGGTTTGCCATTCATGTCGAAAAAATTAAAAAACTTTCTATATTTTCTGATCGACATTAATCCATTGATTTAATGGACCATGGCTCTGAAGAATGGTCACTGGATAATTACGCATAGAATTGGTTCACGGAACCTTTAAAGTGCCATCCACTCTGGTCTTGACATTGATAATTCTATAGCCACCATCAGTATTGGCTTCTTTACCACACACTTCTCAAACTTAATATTATACTTTATTCCATAGGATTTGAGTGTCATCTCCTTTTTAACCATTTTTTTATTAAGGAAAACAAAAAGTAAATTGTAAAATATCATTCTGTGAGTGGCATTCGTGTCCAAAATTTAAAAAGTTTTCCACATTTTCTAATTGACATTAATTAATTGATTTAATGGACCCGAGGCTCTGAAGATTATTAGTCACTAGATAATTCCGGAAAGAATTAGTACCCAAAACTTTGAAAGTGCCATCCACTCTGGCACTGACATTGATAACTCGGTATCCACTACGAGTTATGTCTTCATGTTCACACCATTTTACTACCACTTTACTGTTATAGCACTAATTAAACAGCATGGATTTGTTTATTAAAATTATTCAAAAATTGTGGAGAGTTTCCCAAATATGAACAATAATGAGTCACATCACAATAATCTAGACTTGGAATTCAATGTTTTGACGAATGTAATAACACTTTTCTTTCATAAGTTGTAATCTCTTTTCCACAAAGCTCTGGCGTGTGTCTCACTTGAAAAATCTCTTTTCCTTGTGCAGAAATTCCACAGAGATCTGCCTCCAACCACAGTGTACGCTTTTGGAAGAACCAAGCACACAGCAACCGTTCCTGGTCCAACGATCGAGGCCCTTCACGGGGTTGACACGCATGTGAGGTGGCAGAATCATCTCCCTCCAAACCACATACTTCCGTGGGACCCAACGATCCCCACAGCGATGACCAACACCACACGTGGCATCCCCACCGTGGTCCACCTCCACGGTGGGATCCACGAGCCAGAGAGCGACGGAAATGCCAATGCATGGTTCACTTCGAAATTCAACCAAAGGGGACCCACGTGGACCAAGAAAACATATCACTACCCAAATCATCAACAACCGGGAAATCTATGGTACCACGACCATGCCATGGGGTTGACCCGAGTCAACCTTCTAGCCGGTTTACTTGGCGCTTACATCATTCGCCACCCTGCCATCGAGAACCGGTTAGGGTTACCCGCCGGTAATGAATTCGATCGACCGTTGATCGTCTTCGATCGTAGCTTCCGCACCGACGGTTCCATCTTCATGAGTTCCACCGGGAATAACCCCAACATACACCCTCAGTGGCAGCCTGAGTACTTCGGTGACGCCATCATCGTCAACGGCAAAGCGTGGCCGCGCCTCACGGTACGACGTCGTAAGTACCGATTCCGCATAATCAACGCCAGCAACGCCAGGTTCTTCAGATTTTTCTTTTCCAACGGCCTGAGATTCACACACGTGGCGTCCGATTCGGCATACATCGAAAAACCCGTAACGACCAATGAGACTCTGGTGGGGCCATCTGAGATCACAGACATCGTCGTTGACTTTTCTCAATCGAAGACTAACGTCGTTATTTTATCTAACGACGCAAAGTACCCGTACCCTTCTGGTGACCCCGTTAACGAGGCTAACGGCAAGGTTATGAAGTTCATCATCCTACCCGATCAAGAACTTGACACGTCACGGATTCCTCGACGGTTGCTGGAATACCCCGTGCCGGATTTATCCAGTGTGGCGAACACACGGTATGTAGCTATGTACGAGTACGCGAGCGATATCGATGAGCCAACCCACTTGTACATCAATGCAAAACCGTACGATGCACCGGTTACGGAAACCCCGAGGGTGGGGTCGACGGAGGTGTGGTATGTGATAAACTTGACGGAGGATAATCACCCGCTTCACATTCATCTGGGTTTGTTCAAGGTGCTGGATCAGACGGCGCTGGTGGAACTGGAAGAGTTCAAGGAGTGCATGACGAAAATGAACGACGCGGTGAAGTGCGAGGTGGAGAAGCACGCCCGTGGGAGGAAAGTGGCGGTGCCAGGTCATGAGAAAGGGTGGAAGAATGTGTTCAAGATGATACCGGGCCATGTCACGAAGATTGCGGTGAGGTTTTCTTACATACACACCAATGCTTCGTATCGGTTTGATGCAACCACGGAACCTGGCTACGTCTACCATTGCCATGTGAGTACTACTTCCTTCCGATTTGGAAATTTGATTTGCTTAATAAATGCAGGCATAGGAATTAATGAATGGTGCACACGCGCTGATGCAGGTATTGGATCATGAAGACAACGCTATGATGAGACCCTTGAAAATCATCCACTGATCGATCATGTTTCTCACCCGACCCATAACTGAGCAACAGCTTAGTGTGATTGTTGTAACTTTTCAAAACTTTAAACCCAAGATGAGAAATTTATAAAATTTATGATACCCTTAATCACACTCATCTTAAATTATTTCCAAGCTTTAAACTTAATCCAATTTTTCATCTTAATATTTTATTTTTTTTTTGGGATTTTTTCATTCTTACTTATAATATTGTAAATTTGGGTATGTGGTACAATTTTTATTTTTTTTATTAAGTTGTTGATTAAAGTGTGAGCTAAGCCTGTAAGGCACAAATGATAAAGCTACCAACAAGGAAAGGTGTAGTAAGTAACGGTTCTGGGTCCACTTCTGGCCCACAATTCAAGCTTAGCCCATCGGGCTACTATGTTTTCTCTTTCAGATAACGATGTTATTGTTTTTTCCAAATTTTAATTCATGAACCAAAAATAATATGATCTGAAAATAAATAAAAAATGAAAATATATTAAATGTTAGAAAATAACTTTTTTTTTTAATTTAATCTCTTTTAAGGTGGAAATTAAATGTATATAATTGAGAATACCTAACTTTCTTGAAAATAAAACAATCAATATTTTAGAACTTTAATAAACATACTACTTTCACAACCTTACAATGAACATTCTCACTAATAGATTATTTCTAACAAATGCTTTCCAATATCTTATTTTGACGTGTCATTAATTTCCTCCAATCCCACTGATTAAAGCTATCTCCATCATTGTATTATAGTTAATTTTAGTAACCCATACATCATTTGTGTAAATAGTCTAAATTTAAACAACTCGTACTTTTATATAAAAAAAAGTTATTTTTAATTCTATTTTAAGTTGATTTATTATTTGACCTTTTTAATTAAAAATAACAAAAAATATGTTATATTGTAAACAATGGAATTTTTATAATATTAAATACAAACTTAAAAAAAAACATTTCGTGTCAGTAGACATGCTCAAATGATTTTTTTTTTACAAAATGTTAAAAAAAATATTTATGCTAAATATACTTGATGAAAATATATATTTTATTATTATTGTTTTAAAAAATAAATACTAAAATATTTTTATTACAATTTTAAAAATATTACATTATTATTTATATTTGAGTTATTAAGAATGAGATATTACTACTATTTTATTATGTTTTTATTTTATATATAATGTATAAATGAAATATACCAATGTTAAAGAGAAATTTCACACATTATATATCCCACATATCTTTCATATAGAAATATACATATACAAAAATACTTAAAAATTCCACCTATATTTCTTAGAGAGTTTAGATAATTCTACGAATACTCAAATTGAAATATTACTTTAATATTGTCGACACAAAATATAAATATATCATAATTTTTAATAATATATTTTTAAAACATTTTTAAGCACAATTATTATTATATACTGAGTGTTTTTTAATATGAATTTATCAAATCTTATTTCTTAATTATTATTTTTATTTATCTTTTTGTATTTTTTAATTGGTAATCAAAACCATGTTAATATTATATTAGCAATATATTATTGATCTTATGTTTTTAATAAATAATATTTATTTACTAAAAATAATTTATATTATTTATTAAAAATATGAATATTGTTTTATTAGCAATATAAGAGTATCGAATATTTGAATATCATAATTAATGTAAAGGGGTTAAATGTTTTTTTTTCTTCTAAAATTTCGATATAGTTTATTGTTTTTATTTGTTGTATCAACTTTCAGGTTAAATTTATGACCGTTATTTGAATAAGAATTTAATTAAATTATTTGAAGGCATATACAGGAAAAAAAGAAACAGTATAGAGCAGTTTTTATTTAAATATAAAAATCCATTTTATTTTTTATTTGAAGATTCGTAAAAAATAATATTAAAAATAACATTTTTTTATTTCATGTATTAAGATTTTAAGAAACAGAATACAATTAAAAGAATGTAACTAATTTAAATATCTAAGAAACATAATAGAATTAAAAAGATTGTAACTAATTTACAATTAAAAAGTAAAAATTAAAATAAATGTCCGGAAAATCATATATAATACAAAATAGCCCAGGATACTTCTCGGCTCTCAGCAACCGTTGGATAAAAAATGTTTGACATCACAGCACAGTGATCATCATTCATTCGTGCATGTCAATCGGTTTCAGCATCAGCATCGCCTTCCTATATTCAACGACTCCGTTCCGTTCTCTTTCTACTTTCTTGAAACCCTAATTCAGCTCCTTCACTGCCTCTGCACTTCCCTCTGATTCCACTCTGGTAACACAAGCAAGCTCTTCTTCTCAGATCTGAAACTACTCGTTTTAACCGTTTCTTTCTTTATTTTGAATGAGTTTTACGTTTCAATAGCATATTACACGACTCGCTTCCGAATTCAAATCCTCGCTAGATTCTTCAGTTTTTAACTTTTGATTCCATTTTCGTACGGTTCACTTTGGTTGCAAATTGAAAATCACGAGGTTCAATTGACGGAAATCATTCTCCTGAAATGCTTTAAGCTAGATTTTAGTTAAGGACCTGACTGAATCTTTGAGAAGTGTTGTAAGTGTTTCCACGGTTTACACGGGTTTCCGGGTAGTTTTTTAGGCTGTTTCCTAGTGCGAGTGAAGTGCCAATGTGTGTGGATTTGATTTTCCCCTTACTGCTTATCTACACTTTTTTTTTCTTCCACCGAGTAGCATATTGTAGTGATGGATCTTATTATTGAGTATACAAGAATGATTAAATAAACTGGCAACATATAAAGAAGAAACATTATTGGAATTTTTTGTCGTGTGCAGGTTCAACAAGAAAGATACTGTAGGGCCTGGGCCACCTAATGATAAAACTTCCCATTTCTACATAAGTTGCTGTTGCTATTTTTTTTAATCAAATGGATTCAGTGCCTGCTGATGTGTCTAACTCACATCCTGTCAAAGATCCACCCACTTCTTCTCCTGCTAAAGCGAGTGATGGGAAAGCTTCTGCTGCTTTAGTTTCTGAGCAAGATAATTCTGCACGCGAGGCACCATCTGTGATATCTCCAACTGGCATATCGTCTTGGGCCAAAAATTTGAAACTTTCTCAGTCATTTTCTGGCTTACAAGATGACTCATCAAGTGGAAATGTTGGCAAATCAACTTTTGCACGTCTCACTAGTAATTTGGGATTGAGGATGTCTCCAAAGTCTCCTGTAGCAGATGACAGTTCGAATGAAACGGCTGTACAATCTAATTTGTTTGGAACCATTACGAAAGGCCTGGTTGACACTTCTAAGAATGCTGTGAAAGCGGTGCAGGTTAAGGCACGCCATGTTGTTTCTCAGAATAAACGCCGATACCAGGTGTTGTTCTTGTTCAAACTACTAATATACTTTGTGTGTATTATTGTAAAGCAGATTTTCACAAAATCATGCTCATTTAAAAGAATTGTTGTTTCTTCTATTGGGAACATTGCTTTATTCCCTTTGGGTCAAGCTCAACTTTTGCAATGTAAAGTTATTATGTAATGCAGAAGCAAAAATGGTATAACCAATGTTTTTTATTATTTTGCCTTTTAGAATTAGATCTCATAGCTGGTGTTGACTTTATAAAGCCCCTGAAGTTTGCAAACATGCGCTTACTCCCATTTAAAATATTCTATATAGTTTAGTGGTCTGTATGGTGAACACTCTAGTCCCTTCCGTGTAGAATTTTATTATTTAACTGTTGTTGTGACTGGTAAGTGCATTGAGTTTGAACTTTTGTATTTTTGTTTCATGCTGAATTATATGTTCTTCTCAAAGAACCAGGTTGATGCATGACATGTCCAATTTTATACTCTTTACCTTACATTTTCAGGAAGGCGGTTTTGATTTAGATATGACATATATCACTGAAAACATCATTGCGATGGGATTCCCTGCTGGTGACATGAGCTCTGGATTTTTCGGCTATGTTGAAGTGAGTTAAAATTCTGCATGTTGTTTTTTTTTTTCTATCGCTATCTTGATCTTTGACACTACCATTCTGACTACTTATAAATGTAATGCAGGGGTTTTACAGAAATCATATGGAAGAAGTGATTAAGTTTTTTGAAACTCACCATAAGGTAGTAAACACATTTTGACGCATGAAGTTACTAGATGTTATATTTATGCCTTTTCTGTAGTGCATCGAATTGTATGGAATGTTTTGTTTCATTTGAGAAATATAAATACCATAAATTATTTGTGTTTTATTCTGAGTGCTTGTTTAATTTGCCTTATTGGAAGTGAATGCTGCCTATGAACATGCAATCCCCCCTGCCCCTCTTGCTAGGCATAGATTTAGTTCCTCCAAAGTAAGGTGCCTTTTGCTCGACAGTTAAGATTTTATCTATAGTTTGTTAACATATACTTGCATTTTATTACACTGTCTAGTGTAAATAAATGGTCATAACTTCATTTTTTCCACCACTGCACTTTTTCACTTCAGAGGAGTTAAACCTTGCTAGGCATATATTGTTAGTAACTGAAATATAGATGAATCTCGAGGAAGATGGCAGACCTGTTGTCTCATGGCCAAGGCCAAAGGTTTGAAAGTTAAACATAAGAAGGCACAAGTAAGTGGTTGAGAGAGATGGAAGGGCCAAATGGAAGTTTGTCTGAGTAGCATCCAGAAGATGTAGTGGATTGTGTGAATGATTATTTTGGGGAGATTAGTTTGAGGAGAGAGGCACAGTTGATTGTGCAGATGATTGCAGAGATTTCTCTAGGAACTTTGCTCTTAGAAAATATTAGTGGCGTCTTTTATTTTTATGTTTCTTTTCTACTTCTTCTGTTAATCCCTTTTGACGCCTACATTAATGCGTCGTTTGGCAGGGGAGAAAAAAAGATGTTGGGAAAGAAAATCATAAGAAAATGAAGAGAAAGAAGTCTCTCCACTTAATTGGTTGAATAGAAGTTGAAGCGAAAGAACTTAGTATTATGTTTAAAGGACAAAATACCCCAAATTAAAAGACTACATGATCAGATAAAAGAAGTTGAGGGATTGGATTGGAACTCTACTAAGCTTACTTTGATTTCTATCTTGTCTTTTCATACTGGAGAGAAAATTTTGAAGGTGGGTCCAACACCTTTCTCCCCTGTTCTTTTGCTGCCAAACATTCCTTTTATTTCTCCCGTACTTAAGCTATTCCAGAGGAAGGCTGTTTTTACTCTTCAGTGCTGAGTTCCTATCGTATTCTGCTGTTGCTTTGGATATGTATAGGGATTAGGGAACCTGTTTGCTTTTGGATATGATTGAATTTTCCTTTGCTCTTTTTCTGCTATGCATATTATTGCCAGATTTGTACAACAATAACAACAATATATGTTAAGATTGTGATAAGATTTTGAGATGTAGGTTGAAATTGTGTTTGAATATTTTATTGGGTTCATTATAGTTTTTTCCATTTACTAACTGAATATAATCTGTATAATTTGGCTGAATGTCTTTTAAATATTGTAATATTCTTTCTCTAATAATGGGAAACCTCTTGCAGAAAAGTTCTCTCTCTCTCTCTCTCTCTCTCTCTCTCTCTCATATATATATATATATATATATATATATATATATATATATATATATATATATATATGTGTATGTATGTATGTATATAGTCTGTATTATACATATGCGAACATGCTTCATATATTTTGTTATTCTATCTGTCATTGCGTATTTTATAGTTCAACAGCAGGTTTCAATTGTATGGTAGGTTTTTGCACAGAAATTCACTTGTATGGTGTTTCTTTTATTAAGGGGCCCTCAAAGTTGAAACTTATCGAGCCTGTCCTTACTTATCATTTTCTTGTTTTGTGTTGCATTTGACTTCTTTCTTTTGTATGCAGGGTAAATACAAAGTTTATAATCTTTGTTCTGAGCGATTGTATGATGCATCACTGTTTGAGGGGAAGGTGATTTCTAAATTTCCATTCAAGTCTTTAACGGGACAGTTGTGATAGACTTGCTCAAGGGTTGTAAATTTTATTTATACACCGTAAACTTTTAGTCTGTGATTGCCGTATCTAATGCTTTAGTTTTAACCTTCAATTTCGGATTGCCATATTGAGATTGTCTTTTCTTCAATTAACAATTCATTCATTTCCCATCTGCTTCTTCTTCTTGATCATGATGCTAGACAACCTAGATTAATCCAAGTTTACTTTTTTGAAACATTATATTTTCATGGACTTTATTTGAACAGCAACTTCTATGCTTCCATCTGAAATATGAAATTTCTTCTTTTAGGTGGCTAGCTTCCCTTTTGATGACCACAATTGCCCACCAATTCAACTGATTATATCATTCTGTCAAAGTGCTTACTCATGGTTGAAACAAGACATTGAGAATGTCGTGGTTGTCCACTGTAAGGCTGGAATGGCAAGGACAGGGTTGATGATTTCTAGTCTTCTATTATTCTTAAAGGTTTTTCTCTGCATTTTTTTGAAAATATGATGAACGTGCTTGATATTTGCACTTTCTGTCTTGTGCTAATTTTTTTAGATTTGATGACTAAAATGTATTGCAGTTCTTCCCAACCGCTGAGGAATCAATGGATTACTATAATCAGAAAAGATGTATTGATGGAAAGGGACTTGTTCTGCCTAGTCAGATTGTAAGTTCTGCTTTGCAATGCATTAATTAGGTGGATATTTGGAGATTCTGGAGTTATTAATACAGTTTTACTGTTTTTTGGAAATGATGTTTTCTCCGTAAGTGCTGGAGTAATTTCTTGTGTTTTACTGTTTCTGTAGAGGTATGTCAAATATTTTGAACGAGTCTTAACTTACTTCAATGGCGAAAACCCTCCTGCCCGCAGGTATTTTACTGGGCAAGATGTGGCTGTAGTATTTACTTGTCTTAATATGCATACTCACATCATGTTCTGTACAGGTGCATGCTTAGGGGATTCCGGCTTCACAGATGCCCTTACTGGATTAGGCCCTCTGTAACTGTCTCAGATCATAGTGGTATGCTTGGCAATCTTGTACTAAAATTTCCTCTACAAGTACGGATTTAGTCCGTAACCATTCTGTTAGTAGATTTATGATGATGTCATCTTTTGTACTGGTCATTTGTGGTGTGTTATGTATATTGTTTAGCTCTGTGGTATGCACTCAGATCTTTTAGCATGAACTGAGAAGGCATATCCTCGTTAGGATTTTCTTCCAAAGACAACAGCTATATTTTATCTCAGATGTTTCTAGGGAGGAGTCGTGACTGATATAAAAGCTGGGAGAAAGTCTACCTGTTAATGCATGTTCTTTCCGGCTACAATATGAAAAAATTGTATGCTTTACTAGTAATGAGTAGAGTGATAACTGGCTATATATTTGCATGACATTACGACCTACTTTGTTTTTGTAAAGAATTGACTGACAGCTGATCCGTCGAAGGTGTGGAATTTAAGATCTTAGTCTCTGATAGACTGCCCTGTTTCATGTCGGGTCTGACCTATTTCTAACGTGTAGGTGTGTTGTTCTCAACCAAAAAGCATCCGAGAACCAAGGAACTTTTGGTGCGTTTCATTAGCAATAGAACATCAAGTTATCAACTATTTGATTGGATTTTTGTTCCAAAGTTTTTTTTTTTTCGTCGCCTTTTCCCCCCCAAGTATGATAGATTTCTGTGCGACTTGGGATTTCAAAATTTGCAGCCAGAAGATTTTTGGTTTAGTGCACCAAAGAAGGGAGTGATGGTCTTTGCTTTGCCAGGAGAGCCTGGTCTAACAGAGTTGGCCGGGGACTTCAAAATTCATTTTCATGATCGCCAAGGAGATTTTTACTGGTATTAATTAATTTTCATTATTATTGATCAATTTTCTTCCCTGTTGGTCTTATGTTGGACTGAAATATCTTTCTCTTTTCACTTAGTTGGTTGAACACAACTATGACAGAAAATAGAAAAGTATTGAACACCGGCGATCTTGATGGCTTTGATAAGGTAAGTTTTGTGGTTATTGCTAATAGTAGAAAAAATTGTCTGGCTTTTGTTTCTTTCAGGATTCCCATGTTTGCCATCCACAATCGGATCTTGTAATCAATTGTATTCTTTTTATTTATATGAACTTTTGGTAGAGAAAATTGCCTTCTCCGGGATTTATGGTTGAGGTTGTGCTCGTGGATTATAATGGCGATGTTGAAACTTCGCAATCTGAAACTACTGCAACGAAATCAGATGAGAGTTCAAGTAACAGTCCTGCTCGTCCTGTCCCCGTGGAAAGGAGCACCCCTGCGCAGATTGCAGACAAAGAACCAGAGAGTCATAATAATGATAAAGATGATGTGTTTTCAGATGGGGAGGGAGAGCAATCTGCATCTTCAAGAACCAAGCAAACAAAAGCACCTTCTGAAGCAGTTGGAAAAGTTAAAAATGACACCAGAGGCTCCGATTCCAATAGAATTTCAAATCAAATTGCAAATTTAACACATGCAACAGAACAAGTTTCCTTGGGAAACAAGAGCTCCACGTCAATTCATCACGCCAGTGAGCCAAGAAGTAATGTTGATGGAAAGACAGTGTCCAGTATCGAGGTGCCCAGCGCAGAAAGTGAGTTTAAGGCCATGGCTGCAGATGCGTCTGTTTTTACCTTTGGAGATGATGATGACTACGAAAGTGATTGAACTACAACGACAGGGATTACTTTGTTATCTTTATACTCGATATTTGTACATAAAATTGCTTGCAACTTCCACAACAATACTTTGGTCATCAATTTGTTTGTTTATTTAATGTAATGATAAATCTGGCTACTTCATTGGCTTAATTGACGAGTTACAAATAAGAATACGTAGTTAAGTGCCACAATCCGATACAGACTCCAATTTAATTTAGTCTTATAAACACGTATCTCTCTCTTGCATTTGACTTCTCCCTCATTTTTCTTATACCTCAATCAATGCACGTATCTACCAGATTCTCTGTTTATACACTTTGGGTAGGATAATATTAGCATTTTTTTCTGGATTTCCTTTTATCCCATAATTTTTTAAAAATTTAAGTGATGACTCTACACAAACACGTATCCTTTTTTTTCTTCTCGCGTTCCACTGATTCAAAACCCCGCATTAGAAACATTCTCTCGTCACAGCACTGACAATCTTCATAGCTTGGGAATTTAGAAAAAAAAAAAACAAGTAGTATATTGAATAAAGGTAAAATTTGAAAGAAGATATCCATACAAAACCATTTTTATGATAATAAAATAAATTATATTTATATTTTAAGACATGACTATTCTCAAAGTAGATTTATAATGTCATATGACTCATGTTATTCCTTTTCTTTATTAGGTTATAGTTTATGGTATTTTTTTTTTTACTAGTCTTGTCCTCAATTTTATCGTGGAGTGTTTCTTATATAATTTATTTTGTGTCGTTTTAGTATGAAACTGAGAAGGCATGTCCTAGTTAAGATTTCCATCCAAACAAAGTCAGGTGAGTCCTGAGTGAGAGAAAAAAAGGCATATTCTTTCATGTTACAATAATGGATAAATTGTGATAAACAAAACCTGAAACTACCAAAAAGTTAAAGTAAGACTCCTGCCCCAGTGGAAAAGAAGCAGCCATGCAGACAAAAGAATCATAATAATGATAAAGATGACGTGTTTTCAGACCGTGAGGCTGAGACACCAGAAGCGTCTGAAAACACCAGAGTCGCAAAATCAAACAGAATGACAAATCTTTTATTGCAACACACCACAAGTTTTCTTTTTATTGCAACACACGACAAGTTTTCTTTTTATTACAAAATATTGAAGTGATAATCATACTATACAGTAATATTAGAATTTGAAATATATAAAAGCACAGAGTATGGCTAACATTTTCCATGGAAATGATGAGTAAGATCTGCTTAATGGTGTCGGCGGCACTGTAGTCTCCTGATCACACTAGGAACTAATGGAGTCAAGTAGCCAAACCCTATAGCTAGGGCTACCAAGAAATTGTAATCCCAGTCACCGCTTGGTACAAGACTAGACATGGATGCACTGTAGTTGAATGACATGAAAAATGACAACAACAACAAAGGATATTGCAAAGGGAAGTCAATTGTTAGCCAAATGATCATAAAAAAAGAGGTATAATATCCTATGCTGTTGCCCAGAATAAACATCCAAAATGTTATTTTTGATTTGGTGGCCGTAATAGATTTTCCAGCCGTGTGTCCATCGGCGTCGTCCTGCCACACTCCGCCAGGGGGACTAAGTACAGCCTGATAGGTTGCTGTTACCATAAGTGAAGCTACGGTCAACAGTATATTACGCACATCACTAATAGAATCTCTGTTCGGTTTGTATCCGAATAACTCTTTCATATCTTCAACTCGTGGCCAGTAGCGTATTCTTGTACTTGGGTTTGATTGTTCATTATTAGAGGTGTTTGTTGGAGGAACTTGATTATCATGAATGATCTCCAATTCCATAGGTGCTACTGATTGCCCTGTGTTGTTGGATATTCTACCAACTTCATTCTCATTCTCATTCTCATTCTCAATCTCCCTTCCACTCTTAGCTCCTGCTTTCACCAGAGTTCTGTAAATTTCTAAATCACCAGCTTCGCTTTGGAATACCATAAGAACATCAAGAGGGGTCATTCCTCTCTCGTTCAACCAATTCACCCGCATCACTTCTTTGGCAACATCATCCTCTACCAACAATAGATGAACTATCTACAAATTAAGAGACTGAGTCTAACTTAACCTAATTTAATTTAATCTACAAATTATTTTACTTGATTGACCTATATTTTTTCATTTTTCAAACCTGTTCATAGAATCAAAACTTATTTTTGACGTGGCTAAAGACATGAATGTTAATATTAAATCAACAAGTTAATAGAAAAAAAATATATCAAATTTGTAAGTTGTAAAGTAAATAAATAAAAATAACAAGAGGTTGTGTAATTAAAATTAATTTGTATTAACAGTATCTAAACTTTTTAATCATTGAAAAATATGAAATTATTTAACTTCATTTTTATTTAAAATCAATTAGAAAATTTCTTTGTATTGGATAGAAACCATAAAAGCCATAAAGAAAGAATTACATACCTCGTACTGCTTCCTTGACGCGGCCAGATGCAAGACAGTATTTCCATGGTTGTCTTTTTCATTCAACACGAATCTTTCCTTCTTCAATTTCTTCGCATGTTCCACCAACAATTTAACTGCATCAAACTGGTTGTTTTTCACAGCAATATGAAGCGGAGTTTCCCCCCTCGCCGTTTTGCTTTCAACACTGAGTGGACCTGCGTCAAGCAACACCTTCATCACATCAATTCTTCCTTTCACTGCAGCAAAATGAAGAGGGAGCCTTCCATCCTTCCCCTGAATGCCACACAGCTCATGATCAACTTTCAGAAGCTCAACCACCACTTCCAGATAACCATTCGCAGAGGCAAGGTGCAAGGGAGTGAACCCATCTTGGTTCAGTTCATAGACGAATTGCTTCTTCAGTTTCAACATTTCTTTGACGAAAGAAAGTTGACCACACGCTGAAGCTATGTGTAAAGGAGTTTGAGCCCCAACCATGGACACAGCTTCCAGCAAGAGCATGTCTTCTCTCATCAACCTCCCAAGATCATCAATGTTTCCTGTGGCAGCTGCCTTAACCAACCTCTTATCCATTTCCTTGCAAATTACAGTAGTTTGTGACCGCAGACACTATATATCAAACTATTCCCACCTATCAACTTGTTGATATTGACGCGCATTGAGTCTATTCTATAAAAAACTTTTCCTTCGCAATGGCCTGCAAGGAGAAATTCGGACCAAGTCAAAGAATTTATCATTTCATATAGATATTCCTAAGTTTTAAAACACATGGATTCATTCTATATTCAATTTCAAAAACAATCATACATGATTTTTTTTTTTTTAAATGGAGAAAATAATGCGGATTAGAGAAGAAGACCAAAACTATACACAGCAATAAATTTGATATTTGCTCTTGTTTTTGTTTACTTGAAAGCTTATTATTAGAAATTGCGACACTCTCCATCTCACTACATCGGTTTAAGGTGAGAATTATCTTCGTTTATATATATTATCGTAACATTTCCTCACACCCTTTTCATTTTGATCGATATTTTTTAATGACACTTCCAGTAGAATTTTTTATTGGTAAAATTGATTTTGACATTGTATTAAAAATTATGAGATATTTAATTTTATTTTATAAATTCAATTTAATAAAGTAAATTAAAGATGCCAAACACCTCTTGAAAAAAAATTCATCATATTGCTTGAATTTTTTATATTGTCAATAATATTCTATAAGGGGACAAAATCTTCTCACGTTCTCTTTATTTATAGTAATCTTTTTTAGGATTGAGAAAAATATATATTTTAAAAATAGAATATCTGGCGTGTCTATTTTTTAAGTTTTAGTTTATTAGGTTTTGTAGGTAAAAGATATATTAAAAAAAATAGTGTATATAAATTATTTTTTATTTTGATTTTTAAATAATACAAGACTTAGGAGGGTATCAGAAAATAAATTTTCTAGTAAAAAATTAAGTGATATGTATAAAACAAGATTGTATTCTTAATATTGTGATTGTTCCTAGATAGAACATTGACATCCATCATGAAGATAAGATCTCATACATACCCTTTAATCCCCGATTAGGAAAATTATATTTCGATATATTAATGAATATATATATCATCTTTTATTAACCCACCAAAACACTTTTTAAAAATAAAACCATAATAAACGAAAGTTTCAAAATTGACAATACCTTAAACATAAAAATTAGTTATAACAGTATTATCAAACTTAACATGACACTGAGATACTTATTAAAAAAAAAATAATGTTAGAATGATGAAGTTGTGCATGATTATATTGATTTCACTTGATATATCTACAAATAAATTGCTTTAAACTTTTGGATCTGATGTAAGAGAGAAAATTGATTGTGAAAACTATTTAATGTGAGTGATGATAAAAGTAGCATGTGCTGGGAATGGGCTGGTGAACTAGGCCCATGTTGCTTGTCTTAAATGTGAGTGAGGCCAGCCCATGAAACTAAGAAAAAGGAATGGTGGAATGAGTTGCATTGAATAGATTGGTATTAAAAATATGAAGTGATAGATAGATGGGTATAATAGTAAGTTAATGTACATCTTTCATAATAAAATTTTGATGACAACGTAACCAAGAGGGTACTTATTCACACTATTATTGTTGTAAAGAGTGAAGGTGATAGATAGGTTTAGTAGAGTTAGCTACTTATACAAGCATATAAATGCCAAGTGTGCCATAACTTGTACCAAAAACCCCATTTCTCATTCATTTTTTTTGCCTTTACTTTAACCCACTCATTTACTTCTCTCCACAACTAAGTTTCTTGACCCACACACCAAAGTTTGCAAGCATCTTGATAATAGATAAATGTTTTTTTTTAACAGGTATTGTGACCATAAGTAAATCATTGTTAACTTTTATAAAAAGAAAAGCTAGTGCATATAAATAACATTTTTTGTTAGTTTTTTTTCAAACTATTGGTTCTTATTTCTTAAGTGGGGAATTAGATTAAACATGTCGGTAATCACTCTCTATTAGGAGAAATCATTCAAAAAAGGAGGGAAATATATAAGTATCATTTTCCACATAACTAACTAGTGTGTTAGGAATTTAATAAATCATAATATTAACTTTTTTTTCTTCACAAATCCAAAAAAAATCAATATTAGTAAAAACGCATGTGCTAAAATTCCTACATTGACATATTTTTTATATAATTATTCTTTTCTCTCTCAATTTTTTAAATGTATCTACTCTTTTTTTCACTAATTACATATCATAATTTTTTCATATATTTGTTATTTTTTAAATATATAAATCATAATATAGTTTTAACTATAATACATTTTTCATTGACAATACAAAAAATAGTTATAAAAAAGAGTCTCATTATATATATATATATATATATATATATATATATATATATATATATTTTTTTTTTTTCTAGATACTTGTAAACATTTCAAAACATTACAATATTTAATCAAAAGTATAAATAAAACCTCGTTGAATTTTCTTTTTCGAAAAATGCGGATAATGTTTTTTTTTTTTCACGTGCACTCTACTATTATTGTTATTGAATGAATTACAAATAAGTTTTCATTCCAGTGATATAATGTGGCAAAGAATAAAAATAAATGATAAATAGGAATAAGGAGTTTTTAATAGGAATATTAATGGGTTTCAGATTGTAAATTAACTTACTCACGATGATTTTTGATTTAAAATTGAGTAAAAAAATGAAAATAACAAAGAAAATCATCTTAATTTTTATATTCAATCACTGCACTGAATATGTTATATTATTTTTTTATGATTGTACGAAATTCCCTGTGAATTTGAATTTGAATTTGACGGTGATAAGCTTGCAAGTATGACTCAAAATCTCGTACCTGATGCTTCATTAATAACGTGGATTAATGTTGCATCAGGAAATTGAATGAGGGGGGAAAAGTTTCTGAGTAAAATGAATAAAAATGTGCGAAAATTAAATTGACAGCATAAGAGGTTGTTGTCATGGGTCCATTTTGATCTGTGTGCCGTTAGATTTATGCAATTCTGCCCGCCAACTAAACATGAACACCGAAAGCACAAACTATTCCAAATTATTTTCCATCTATTAATTTTTACTATTATCATCATCCTTTTCTTCACACAATTTTATAAATATATATATAAAAGACAAGCGTGAAACCCACTCAGTTGAAGAAGAATCAATCTCTCCCTTTCACCTTTCTCCACAGCCTATACCACTTTTCTTCTTTCTCTGCTTTCTTCTACTCTCACTTCTTCACTCACTGAGAAAAGAGAGAGTGAGAAATCAAAAAAGGGAGTGATGGGTGTGAGAATGAGTGTTTTCTTTTTATAATGAACAAAGGACTGCACACCCTCTTCTTCACTGAAGAAGATGGCAATCCACCACCACAATGACCAACTACAACATAATGACAATGTCTCATCTGCCCTTGATGCCCTTTACTGTGATGAGGCAGAGTGGGAAGATGAAGATGAAGAGGAGGAAGAAGATGTAGAGAGTGATGTCACAACAAATGATGATGCATATGAGCTGCACCACGCTGGAACTTCTCTTTTCCATCTGCTCTTGTTGGAGCAAGACTTGTTCTGGGAAGATGAGGAACTAAACTCTCTCTTTTCCAAAGAGAAGCTTCAACATGAAGAAGTTTATGGCTATAACAATCTGAATAATAGTGATGATATTAAGGATAATGATGGTTGTAATAATACTAATAATAATGTGCATTTCAACCCTTCTTTCTCTCAGCCTCGTCGTGAGGCAGTGGAATGGATGCTTAAAGTCAATGCTCATTATGGATTCTCTGCTCTCACTGCAACATTGGCCGTTACTTACCTGGATAGGTTCCTTCGAAGCTTCCATTTTCAAAGGGAGAAGCCTTGGAAGATCCAGCTCGTGGCTGTTACTTGCATCTCTTTAGCTGCAAAAGTTGAAGAAACTCAAGTGCCTCTTCTCTTGGACCTTCAAGTAGGTTCAGCACAAAAGCTTTGTTCATTTGAGTTTGTTTTATTGATCATCCTAGGTAGATGTCTCATCACGTGTTTGTTTATGATGTTATGTTTTCAGGTGCAAGACACTAAGTATGTGTTTGAGGCAAAAACAATTCAGAGAATGGAGCTGCTGGTTCTGTCCACCCTCAAATGGAAGATGCATCCCGTGACCCCACTCTCGTTTCTAGATCACATTATAAGAAGGCTTGGTTTGAAAACTCATCTTCACTGGGAGTTTCTCAGGCGCTGTGAGCATCTTCTCCTGTCTGTGCTTTTAGGTGAGCATTCACAATAATGACTACAGCCCTTACTATTTCTGATGCCATTATTGAGTTGACTTAAGACTTTTAACTTTTCTATCAGTACAAACAATGAATGGAGATGTATTGTGTTGATTTTCTTATCATTTGGTATGTGTATGTTTTCTATGTCTAGATTCAAGATTTGTTGGGTCTCTTCCTTCTGTTTTGGCCACTTCAACAATGCTGCATGTCATAGACCAGATCGAACACAGTGGTGGGATGGAATACAAAAATCAGCTTCTGAGTGTTCTCAAAATTAGCAAGGTTGGTGCCTAGATCAGGATGTCCGAGTATTTGTTTCAAGTGATAATATTTGTTTATTAACATTGCTCATGTCCATGATTATGATTAAGAACACGAGTTGCATGAGCACGAGCATGTTAGATTAAGACTAAATAAACGTTGACAATGTCATTAATGCACATGATAAGCACATTATTTGATCCTTGTTACTGTGCATTTTGACAGGAGAAAGTAGATGAATGTTATAATGCAATTCTCCAACTCTCAAATGCCAATAATTATGGTCATAACAACAACATTAACAAACGCAAGTGTGAGCAAATTCCAGACAGTCCTAGTGGCGTAATTGATGCTGCATTTTGCTCTGATGGTTCCAACGATTCGTGGGCAGTGGGGTCATCATTATATTCACCACCAGAGCCTCTGTTCAAGAAGAGCAGAACCCAAGGACAACAAATGAAATTGTCACCACTTAACCGGGTCATTGTCGGAATTGTTGGCACCTCTCCATGATACCCTTTTCTCTCTTTCCTTCACAAACAAAATAAAAAAAAATGTCTTGAATTTATTTACTGTGGTAATTAATCTTTCCATGCATGTTGCTAAACGATAGTGCCTTTCCCTTCTATGTATCTCTTCATTTCCAACAATGTCCCACGTTCGTTTACATCTCTTGAAGAGGAAGGGGTGGTCTCCGAGGGAAGAGGAAGAAGACAAAGTTGGCAATGAAGAATTGAAGACTATCATCAGCACTCTATAATATGTTTCAAGCACTTTTTTTTTTTTCGTTCAATGGGTCTCATAGACCATACCAAATTTGGACATATTTATATCATATTTTCTATAATAAATTGGGAACAATTTTGTTCATTTGTATATGCTCTATTCACTCCCTGTGTGCTTGAATTGAACCTTTGGTGTGAGACTGGATGGTTACACTGTGACATGGAGAAGATGGATGAGAGTCACCCATGGTCCACCCTCATTTTTTTACCATATGTTTTCTTATCTTACTAAGTAGTTTTATGATGAAAAACCAGTAAGACAGAACAAAATAAGGAAGGTTTTTGGACAGACTAAGAGGATTTGTTTGCATGTGAAAGGAGAAGTAGTTTGTCGGCCAGTGGGGTTTTGGTCATAGGGGAGGGGGCGGGTTTCTTGATTGGGGGATTCAGTCCTTTGACCTCGTAACAAGGGCCAAACACTTGGTCTTACAATATTGAACTCACCCTAATACTCTACTATAACCTAACCCCTACCTACTCAAAACACCAAAACTTCTACTACCACTGTTTCTTATTCATTAGCCATAGCTATCTATACCTACAAGCACTTCGAGAAGGGCGTGAACAAGAGCCTGGTCTAGGGCCCTAATTTTGTCCCTACTTAATTATACATGTATTTTGTAGCATATATTGTTGTCTTTGCCTGTCATTATTTGGTAGATTATTACAGTAAGATAGCATTAAATAAACATTTCGTACATTGGAACCTTTTAGTTGGAAACTTCAAAGGAGTTGTCACTGTGTAACATTTATTGCATTCTCCTCCAGCACAATTTTAGAGGCTTGTAAGGACGAACATGCTGTCTTAATTTATTTTGATTTATATGACTTATGCTATGTGGTCAGCTCTGTACATCTCTGCCACTCCAGTTCAATAAAATTTATATTGTTGGGTAACTCAACCAAATTGAATTTATCAAACGTGATAACCACTTCAAAATGTCTCATTTTAATTATAATATTAGAACGTTCACAGATTACTAATTATGGTACTCAAGCGCGCTTTCTCTTTCATGTCTGATACCATGCTTATCGATGAATAACCTGTCAGAATACTTCTTGAGTTAATTTCTTTCTGACGTGATCGATGTAAATAGATAGCATATCTTGATAATCTGTGATGTACAATTTGAAAACAATACAAACCTCAGTTGATATTATCAGTTGTTATAAGTTGTCATCACATTTTATCTGTGTAATTAACAACTGATGCATTTTCAGTCAATAGTAAGAGACAATTGATTAATCATGTCTATTATAGCACTAATGGGAAGCCAAGAACACAGAGGAGAACATGGGGGAGACACTTTTACAACTAATTCAAAGTAGTGGGATACACAGGATTAACTTTTCAATACTTATGCAACCTTTGCTTTGTTAGTCGTTAGTTGGATTAGACTAACTATGATTAAGTGCAAACACTCTTTTTACAGAAACAAGAAAGGTGGCATACCCCATGTGGATAACATTCCGTAGACCTTCCCTTTCTTCTAAGTTGCGTGGAGATTTATTTTTCTTTTCTGTTTTTCTTCCTACCCCTTTTTCTTTTATGAATGCAAAGATTCATGATGATCATTCTAGTGGATTCACTATAGTGCATGCCTCACCTTTAGGTTGTTCTCTTTGCTTTTGTTTATCTTTTATTTTTGTCTTTGTTCTCGTCTGAAAAAAAAATAAAGTTCATTCTGCTTTTTTCACGTGTATAACACAAATTATTTCTGTAAAGATGGTGTATGTAAAAACGCTCGGTACGTGAACGTGATGGAATGAATAAGAATGGCACACACGTAATGGTTTAGTATTTTAGAACAGATTTTCTTGGAGAAGTTTAAAGGCATAAGAGAGCCATATTTGTTTGTCTCCACGAAATGGAGTGTGAGTAGTATTAAACAAGAAAAGGAGTAGACAAATATGATGGTTTTGGTTTTATTGGTGGCTTTGACAAAACACCCACTAAGTGGAAATTATGATCCAATGCATAAAGGCAGGGGATTTTATTATGGGGGGACAAAATCTGATTTTGTAGGAAGATTGTCTCTGGTTCTGTTAATATTTTTTCTCTCCTTTAAGTTTGGTAGATTAAAGATAGTAGTACTAGATGGATGGTAGTGATCATGACTTCATGAGTCAGAGGGAGAAAAACTGAAGAGGGGAAAATGTTTTTCCAAAAGGACACAGCCTTACTCCTAAGGAAGAACCAAAGGTTATGAGATCAGTATGCCCCCACCCCAATAATTGTAGAATAATATGATGCCTTGTGGCTTAGCTTAGTGATTTTGAACTTTCTCTTTTGACCTAGTCTCATCCTCTGTTTGTCACTGCTTAATAAATTCAAATGAATACAAATTTTGGCTAAAACCCCTCCATGTAATTTTCCTTTGCTCTTTTCTTGCTTACAGCTGTAAAGTCTAAAAGAACAATAAAAGAGGACCATATATGCTTGTGGTCCCCACTCTGGTTTTTCTAGAGTACACAGAAACACTCTGCTTAGGCTGCACAATAAAACATACATCCTCTTCAATCTTTGATAAAAAATAGCCAATTCATAGCTACATACAGCCGTATCTACTTGTGGAAAGTTGAAGCTGGTGACCATTCTTTCTGTAAACCACCACAAAGTGCTACAAATCATTCAACTCTGAACAATAATAATTTCCCCTCTCCCTCTCCTCTTAATGATGACACTGCTATTTCTAAGAAGCAAAAGTTAAAATATCATGAGAGCAATTAATGGTGCTTAACTTGTTAGTTCTGGTTAATGAATATACTAGTTTATCTTACAGTATCATTCCATGTCTGATAAAAAATTTATTTCTATTTGCCAAAAACTATAATGTTGAGGTTTCACCACCCAAAAAGGTAATGCTGATATAGAATTTATAGTCAGATTGATTTTGATTGCATTCTAACACATGCCATGCATGATACCCCAGAATGATTGCAATAGCTCATCACCAATTCCAGGGTAAGTATTTCCATCGTGAATTACTGCATTTTAGGTTTTTTCACTAAAAAAATGATTTGAAAACTTGTTATTTTTCACCGAAGCAGATGAAACAGGGAAGAATTTGACTGTTCCACGACAAAGACAATAAGGGAAGGGAGAAGTAATCCACTCCATAATAAGGTAATATGTCACATCATTAAGCTATAATTTTGTCTATTATGTGCTAAATTAATCAAAAGAATTAAGTCAACATTTTAAAGAAGCAAATTCTTCAACGATTTGAAGTTTTGAAATTCATGTGTTTACCTGCCTCACAATGGAAATTCGTTACCAACTTCTTGTTGCAAGTATAATTTCCATCCAGTTCACAATTCTCAAAGTCATTGTAATTGTTTCATAAATAACAAACAATTCATCACTGGTTAGATAGTTTCCAGGTTTCAACGTCAGGGTAAGGAAAGAAGGAAAAAACATGTGAACAAAAGTTAAGTTCCAATGCCCAAAGTATGAGTTTTGGACACGTATATGTGTTAAATATTTAGATGAATAATTTATAATGATTTTTTTTTTCAACTCGATTAAGATTATTTTTATGGAAAATAAATATTGTTTTATATACAGATAAAAATTAAGATAGATGGTCAATGCGTGCATAAGGTTGAAAATTGTTACTTTTTAATTTAAAATTATTTTCAATTTCTCAACCTAACCTTTTTTTGTGTTTGTCGTATCTATTCTAATAAGGATCTTATTGAATATTTAAAAAAAAAATTTATATATGAATGAGATAATGGATAATAATATAATGAAATATAATAAAATTTTTAACCTAAAAACTTAAGATTATATATCTCTTAATCTTTCTTATTTATATTTTACTCATATTTATGAAATTCAATCACATGTTTTATCTTGTATGTTGAGTTACTTAATTTAATGTTAATTAAGTCTTGTTACGTGCTGAGTTACTTAATTTAATGTTAATTAAGTTAAAATATATAACATAATATCAAAATCATTATTTAGTCCTAATATAAATTAGTATTATTAAGGTAAAACTTAAATTATTATTATGTATATTATATTGTAATGTATGTTTTGTTGCATTGAATAAAGTAAAATTGTAGACATAAATGATATGTAATCAGGCATGATAACATCCCCATGGAACGAGTTTTGCTTCCTCATCCTACTTTCAACTTTTTTAATCGATTTGAGTTAAAAAATTTAGTTTCTATTACCATTTCTGTCTGGATTTTGGATTTTTTTCACCTTCCACTCATTTTCATATATTTTAAAAAAATATATAATTACATATATTAATTATAATAAATTAATTTAATATTATTTTTTTATAAATAAATATTTATAATTTTACAAGTTTTAAATTATTATTATTGATTAAATATATATTTTAATTTATTATATTTATATTAAAATATGTATGTTAAAAAAATGTTTAATTATTTTTTCCTTATCACTAATCTCAAATAAAAAAAAGTTTCATTCGGATTAACTTAATTTTTTCCGTCAATATGAAAATTGTAGTGAATTGATACTTATATATACCAGAAAATCACTTTATTTTAATATACACGAAAATCACTCTAAAATACTTAAACACGTCCAATTTTTCGGACTATTATAATCATGAGATTTCTATATAATTAGGTTTAATATTTCTTTCATAATCATTCTTAATAATTGAAAAGTCTTTTACAATTATTATTTTTTTCATCTACTCAAAAAAATTCAGACACCCTTATTTACAACTATCCTTACTGTTATAGACAAAATTAATATACTATATAGCAAAAATTTAAATTTGATTGAAAAATAAATTTAACTAAAAAAAAACAACACTAACTATATAGATGTAAGTTTGTCCATGTGATGTAAGCATAATGTTCAACTAATAACCTAATTTGCCATCTACCCTAAAAATAAAAGTTTTTATGGTAAGGTTAAGAGAGAGGAGGTCAAACATGGCATTTTATTGTGTCTGAAAAGCAGAAAAGAAGTCTCATTGTTTAATGTTGATACCATAATCTTTTCAATTTGATGTAAAGTTGTCGGGCACAGACAAATTAACACCCAACTACATTCTAAACCAAGGTGTTGATGTTTGCTTCTGAAACTCCGAAGGAACTATCCAAGATTCATATGGTCCCAAATACCAATGGATTCAAAGCAGTTGATGCATCGCTATTGCGAATGGCCCCAATGGATCAGAAATGGAGCCCCAAAACCTGTGTCAACTAGCATTTCCACACCTAATGCGTGAACCAAATTATTATCACAACGTTCCTTTTTTAATTGTTACAGTTAATGTTTGCTACCAGCAATCGGCATCCAATGTGCTAGGAAACGATCCTGTTCTAACTGGCCACCATTTTTCCAAGCAGAGACAAAAATGCCAACACAAGAAACATAATTAGATTTGGCCATGTTATCCTGAACTTGTACGAGTAAAATTCATTATGCCACACACACAGACACACACACACATATATATATATATATATATACATTGCTATTACTTGTATTAAAATGAACCCCATTTCAGAACATTGTGGTCCAAGGTCCAAACATTTTAAATTAAGCTTTCATATCATTTGAATTATTGAAAGGGGAAAACTTTGGCTTTTCTAAAGTCCTGAAAGCTACAAGCTTCCTGGGTTCTTTCTAATTCTTTTTTTGGATACTATTTTTACAATCTTGTAAGTTTATAACCAGGATTGGTCTGAGCAAAGAACCAGAATGAGATTGATGAGCTGGAATAGGGTAATAAATAAGGGACTTTACTGAGTTCCAAATATTAAATGAACTGAGCACAAGTTGTTTTATGAGTGTTTGGTTTGATTACCTTCTTACAATAACCAAGTCCAGAAGATGAATAAATTGAGGAAAGGCTTTGAGGTTACTAGTTTAGAACCTCATAGTAGGAGGCCGAAAATAATCTTCTTGGCGCCTTAAGGGGGTACCCCACCAAATTGATGTAATGTCTAATATGGAAAAAAAAACGTTTATAAGGGAGAAGTAGACAAGTAGGCATTGAATGTCAAAACAAAAAGGCAGAAACAGTGATGCGTTGAGGTGGTCCAATGCGAAGAAACATGGTTAAATCTCTTTCCCTCTCTTTTAACAAGGCAAAATTTATTGTTAAGCAAGGAGGATGTGGATCCCTTCAAGGTCACTCTCTTGGGTTCCTTTACAAAGTCAGAAGAAAAGGACAAGAGAAGTTTTTGATGTTTTAGGGGCCAGCTATGAACCCCAGCATGGCTTGTGTCCCAAATCTGTGAAACTTGGCTGCCATGCTGCAAGCATGTCTGCCTCATCAGACAAAGATTTGGGTATCTTGTGACAGGCAAAGAGTGACCCTAGCACCATCACAAGTTAAGTTTTCCAACCCTTAAACACTACATAACAGTGAACGCGTGCTAGTTGACAAGTGAATGGTGATAAATGATGAACACCCTAAATATGGCCTTATCTGGGGTAATCATCACCTTAAGTGTCTGTTCCTGGTACAAAACACTGTTGGTATAAAGCGACAAGTAGAGGACGCTAACAAATACACAAAACAAAACATGCAGCATGTGTTTTGTACGTAGATAATGAAAAGTCAAATCCTACGGTAGCAAATGTCCCGCAGCAAAGTATCCCCATCAGAGAAGGTTGTTTCTATTCTACTTCTCACAAATGAGAGAAATAATATATACAACAGCACGTAGGACAGATCAAGCAAATTATGTCTAAATTGTAATACATTTGACTGCTTTGGAAATCTAATCATTGATCAAGGAAAACACCCCCTCGTTAAATACTAGAATTTTGTTTTTGTTACTGTATAAAGCAGCCAAGAACATTGGAATAAATCTTCTTTTGTGTGTCTGTGCTTGCTTAGACTTTGGTTTACTCGGTACTATAGTATAAGTATTCTTAGTGTGTGTTTGGTTTCATGCCGTAACAATTCAATATTGGATCTACAATACATTGGATCACACTAGCACCTAGTAAAATTAGTAGAACCAAAAAACTTAACTAATTATAAACACGTTATGTTAGTCTTTTATTTTTCATCCGCGCAATATTTGAAAAACCAGATATTTGTATGATCAGATTAGAAGAATGTGGATGAGTTGAGATATGGTCCAGTTAGTAATGAGCCATTGTTTGGGGCTTGTCACTTCATATACTATCGCCTGCAGGTCGTGTTAATCGACCCACATGGCACAATGCAACACAGAAAGATAGAACCCGTGACTCTTTTCATGGTACATTTTTAGCTGTTATGCATCATGTATGTCAGCAGAAGTCCCAAACCCCAGCTGTGAAACAACTGGGTAAAAAAATGTGAGCTATGTGAGACGTAAAGAATTTGATTTGTGTTCAATCTTTTCTTCCATCTTGGAATGTCAAGATTTTATGGGAATGATGACACAAAAAGTGACTGCAGCAAGTTAGGAACGGACAAGCTAGTTCTGAATAGTAGGTATTGTAGTCCTGATTCACTGCCAGAAACGAATTAGAGAGCCATCATTTTTCAATTTGACTAAGGCTTTGTTAGAACTTAGAATTCGATCTGTTTTTTCTTGTCCTTTCTATCTATTAATCTTTACATCCATTCAAAGCATGAAACACCTTGGTCAAAACAGATTTCTGCTGCAACATTCCATAATAATTTAAGAAGAATCCCCAATAAATTCGTAGGAGGCATAATTGCAGCAGTAGATTCAACTGTAAATATGAGCCTTGACATGTTTCGCATTGATCTTAACCCAAATTGTCCACAAGTTCAGCTTCCTTGGGCACTTCATCAAGTGCATATACATATATCTATGCGCCTCTGGTTCGTCCACCACAACCTAAGCCAATTCATTCCAAAATCTTTACATGGTATTAATTTCATTTATATTTAATAATTTATCTAAACAAAACAAATGAACTACTTAATCATCCATAGTACCACATAAAACTTTAAAAAAGAAAAAAAAAATTGTACAAACATCTGGAATGCATAGTCAACCAAATAAAACCATAGTCCTTTGATATTAAATCATGCAACAAAGACTGTACATGTACTTGCATTATCTTAGTAGAATAATGAATGAATGAACAAAAGAGTTCAACATTTTACGAGAATCATTGGCCTCAATGTTTTACCACGCAGTTTTTCTAGCGACCAAGATTCAAGAAAAATAATCATCCCCAAAAAGAGAATAAAAAATAGGTTGCAAATGCCTGCCAGATGTGAAGATACAATAATGGTCCTAAATACATGTGAAAAAAAAAAATTGTACACAGTACATCAAGATCAAATCATAAAAAGAGAAAAGCAACCTTTCCTGTCCAAGATGGTTAACTCTAATAGAAACTTCTGTTTAAGGCAAATCAATTAAAAACATAATCATGTTATCTCACACGCCACCCCATCCTCCACTGTAAAAAAACCTAAACTTGATAAACATGCAATCTAACTGTTGATTTTAAATTTCTCCATTTAGACTAAAGATTGAGCAAGATACAAAATTGACAAAGTGTAAAAGTACTGTAGATTACAGAAGGAGTTAGTGAGTACTATACATCTTTCTATGCAGATAACAAAAGGAGTTATAGTGAGTGTTACATCTTTCTATGCGGATAACAAAAGGAGCTATATTGAGTGATATACATTTTTCCCTGACAGTTTTAGCATTTTGTTTGCTACTACCATCCTGGCACGATCAACCTCAATTGCAAGTTTTTTTTTTTTTAATATTACTGTGCTAACTCTCAGAAAAGATAAGACAGTGATTGAGGGATATATAGTGTGAATTGATTGATTTGAATAACACATTGGTAGCCGTGGTAGTGGAATCTTGGAACAATAAGTATCAGAGTGATCATAACTTGGCCATACACCAATTACAACATTTGTTCAAACCAGCAGATACAGTAGCCTTTGCTGTCAAATAGAATTGAGATCCAAACCCCCATTATCAACAACCAATTGAAACCAAAACATGCAGTTGTTTTCTTTATTCTAAGTAATTAAAACTCGACCCAGCTGTCTCGTGCAAATTAATTATTTATATACATGCTCTATCTTAATATCTTTTTCTCTTATAACAAAGTTTATATTCTGAAACGTGTAATACCTGTGTTGGCTTCACATGTCTCAATTTATCAGCTCCAAAATAGCAGACAAAGGAACCAAATTCAACCTATTGCGTTGGCTATTGATTCACTGAATGATCCAACCCTTTTGATAGCATTCAAGAAAACAGAAATGGGGAGTAATCAATTATCACATAGTATGAAACAATATAAACTAATTACTTTTTGCTCTCCGACAAATTAAGGTTCACATAATCACTTAACTCATATTCCCTAAACTGAATTATTTTGTTTTTCTTTGCAAATGTTTCAATTGGAAGATAGTCATAGATACCAGAGTAACATCTTTGCCGTGATATTCGGCTCATCAAATTTGAAGTATATGATGCTCTATACCAACCATTGAAACAATAATTGTGAGTTTGTCAATGTCAGTGGCTTTACTTTGTGATGTACCCCACCAAGCCTACGTATAAAAGCTTTGGTCTAGGAAATACGAATAGAGTGACTGGTGAACCTTAATTTGTAGGTAATAGCAAAGGTGATGATGGTTGTTTATACAAACAATCAATAGATAATTCACGATAACGGTATATAGTGTCATGTAAAATTACTTTAGGTTGTTTGGCTTGTGAAATAATCATTTTTAAGCGCAAATGTCATTAATTTATCTTCTCAATATTGTAAAACTGGAAAATATGAAAAATTAAACCTGAATTTTCTGAAATTTAAATAAAAAAAGTTCATTAGTTAGTTTCATAAAACATTAAAAAAACTGAAAATAAAAAAAAACTAAAGAAAATTGTAAGGGCATGTCATTTTATTTGATTAGTTATCCGTTATTTTTTTTATGATAGAATTTTACAACTTCTGTTCTTCGGTGTCTCCCACGCATGAAACGGAAACCTTGTTGCAGGGAGCAGTTCTCTCATTATTTGTTCTAGGATTCAAGTTCATGATCAATCTTTCATATTTGCCTGTTCTACTGTTCCTGTGTTTCTTTCCAGTCTGACTTCGTTGTTCTTCTAATTTACTCTTCAGCTGCTGTGAAAACTTGAGGACATCATCAAGTAAACATTCTGTAATGTGCTAGAATTGCCAGAGTATAACCTCGATCTTCATCTGATGATGATTTTAGATTGTTGATACAAAACATCAAAGATTTAAATATAGACAACTTGTCAATGATGGATATGAAGATGATGATTATGTTATATATATATATATATATATATATATATATATATATATATATATATATATATATATATATATATATATATACGAGCCGTTAAAAACTTAATATCTTTTTATGTTTGGAGTTGTTAATTTGAAACTTATATCTGATTTTGTGACTTAGAGAATTGTAGGTGATATACAATCAACCTTTTCTGTATAAGCTTAAGTGTTACTGACGCTTCTAGTTCAATTCTTCATTCCCACATGGAATGCCAAGATTGAGAAATGATGTCACCAAAAGTGAATGCAGCAAGATACGAAAGGACAAGTTAATCCTGAATACTAGGTACAGCATCCTGATCCACTACAAGAAAATTCAATTTTATTAAGGCTTTGTTAGAACTTGAATTCAAACTATTTCTTCTTTCTTTTCATCTATTACACAGAATCTCCTGTAAATTCATGAGAGGCCATAATTGCAGAATCTGCTGTAGAGAAATAAATGATGAACTAAACAGTTCAATGTTTTTTTAAGAAGCATTGGACTCAATTTTTCATCTCAGTATCGCAGTTTTTTCAGTAGTGATCATCTTCAAAAAGGAAAAACACCAGATGTACCAGTAGATCAATACCAAATCATAAAAGAAAATATATATTTTGCTGTCCAAGATAATATTAACTCTAATAGAAACTTATGTTTATAAACCAGGTTAATTAAAAATATTACAATGTTACTTCACCCTCAGACATCCCTCCCTTAATTTCAAATTTATCCATCTGGATAAAGATTGAAAAAGATATAGATAAAATATAATACATGCAGATAAAGAGTTACATCGAGTGCCACATCTTTCCCAAACAGTTTAGTGTATTTTGTTTGCTACTATACTAGAGGGATCAACCTCAATTATGAAACTTTTCTTATATTATTGTTCTAGCTCCCGGAAAAAGTCTGGCAGTGCTTGAGGGTGATTATGGCAGGAATTAATTTATTTGAATTACACATAGGTAGCCATGGTAGTAGAATCTTGCAACAATAAATCCTAGTGAATATAATGTGGCTGGACCAACCAATTACAGCAACGTGCTTTTAATCGAGTACATATCCGGCTCTAACCAGATATATGAGTTCATAATCAATGTACAGTAGCCTTTACTGTCAATTGGATGAGCCCCAAGCAGCCATTGTCAAGAACAAACTGAGACCAAGAGTTGCTATGTGCAAATGATATATATATATATATATATATATATATATATATATATATATATATATATATATATATATATATAACATGTTCTTTTCTTTTTCACAAAGATTTGTCGAATTGAAGTGCTTGTCCATGGTTATAAGTGCACACATGAGCCCCTAAAGTTCAAAAATATTATTGATACTGTCTTGCACAACAAAGATACACACCATTGCCAAATTATTCCGTTCCAACGTAGCAGACAAGGTCAAATTAAGCATAAAGCTAACATCTATATGCACATTATTTTCAATTTCAAATTACTTGAAGTACTTCTGCATGTTTCTAGTAAGTGGAACATAAGCCACAAAACTCGATGCACAACATTACTACATATAACAGACAAAAGAAAACCAAATTCAACATAATGCTAAGATTGTTGCATCCACCTCGCCCTGCACATGCATAAACCCTGATGATGTGCACCTCCTGCTGCATCTGAGACAGCTTGTTTCCTGCAGCGATTTCAACATACTCTGTTTGCTATTTATTCACTGAATAAAAGAATTCAATTTTCTTTTGTAGAAGAAAAAAAATATTATAGGATACCTAAATACTATGTGACACAGAGAAAGAGAAAGAAATAGAAGAGGGAGAAACACAATTTTTATTAGTGAATTATGTAACAAGATAAAAAAAATTGGGAGAAAATATAAAGGGTCAAATAGGTGATTGTATTATGAAGGTATCCATATATAGTTATTGTTTTATAGAATTCAATAAAAACCAGGAGAGCAAACAATAGTTATCAGATGCCCTTTTCAAACCCCTCCTCCCTTCATAAATTAAAGATGTAAACCCAAGTTTGTCCTCCCTTCAATCAAAACTAACACATACCTTAATTTTTAATCAGAATGCACCGAATTGGTGATCCCTCGGCACCAGACAACCTAAGAGGTAAGCAATGGACTGAATAAAATCCTGCAGGGACGTCATCAAGCTTCAAGGCCTCAACAAGAATGATTTCCTGAAGCATTTGCAGTTGTTAGAGCTAGTTCACATTGATTCTGTTTCTTATCCAAGCAACAAATGAAACATATTCAATCTGGTTTATACAAAGGGAATCTGAAGACACTACCAATCTCATGTCAAAATACATCTTGTACTGACTTGTTGACAACTATCTTTCAAACTAAATAGTAAAATATTTTATCAGAAGAATGACCCCCAAATCAAATTACAAATAGTGATTGAAATGGATGGAGACACTGAGTAAGCTAACATTTTACATTGAGAAATTAGTAAGGATATATGAATTAATTGCTATAAAATGCTTAAAGACTACTTACGTAACTGTTTAGAGCCCTCATTGACATGTAATGTGAAAAACTATACTTATTAGGACGTCCTTTTTCAGGAACCTATATTGGTATCTCCAAAGTTTAGGCTCAGATGTGAATAAATCTGATAAGTTTTACTCTAACTAAAACATTACCTGAAAGCAGTCTAGAAAGTCATCCAAATTAATCATTGGTTATTCCGTAAAATTACAATAATGTAATTATTATTTTTAGAAGCAAATAAAGCTCTAATAAATTGTCATGTGGCACTACCTTAGAAAAATGTAAATGTATTGATAAATTACAGCAAAAAGAACATCAACACTGATGACTCAAACTGACAACAATCTTCAAGAGGTATGCCTTCAAAGCCAAATACTTGCAGTTAACAGTTTGACAAGTGTACATTATAGCTATAACATAGAGAGAAAGATTAACTGGTACTTTGATATAATAATACGGGTGGAAAGACCAAATGATGTTCATAGTTACATACATCACGAGTAGTAAAAGTCAAAGATTCCACTTGTGCGCAAACAAATACAGAGTTTGAAAAATATTTAGTGGAACTTTGACCCTATTATCCCCAAAATATGATTCACTTTCACCTAAAAAGGGCAGAGGATAATCATTAATCGATGTTGAAACATATCACACATAAACTCTCGCCACAAATGAAATTGTTTCTTACCCTGCTCTTCAGAAAAACAAGGTGGGATGAAATCAAGTGATCATAAGAACCAGCAGATAGATAATCAACTCCTGCATTGCACCACAGAAAATAAATGTCAGGCAACATAACTGACCAGGAAAAAAAAAACACGTGAAAAGATGAACAAGAAAGAAAGATTGGGGAGATATGCTCAGGTAAACATACAATGAAAGAGCAAAATAAAAATAGTTAATCACAATTAGCAATCCAGAAAAGGGTTATGATTTTTCAGATAGAGATAAGAAAAGACGGAGAGTGGAAAGGATGAAGAATATTTTTTGTAGTGTTTATCGAATTACTAACAAATTACCCAACATGTGCAAAACTAGACCCAGCTATTGAGATACAAATGACAGGAAAAGAAATGGCCATGGCAAACTTCAGCGAAAATTAAAAAGGTAAAACCACTTATACCTACCTACAAGTTTAATATCAGTGTTCTCCACAAGCCATCTTGCTCCATCCTCTGTGAATCCTACATAGCTTAAGTCACATTCCTTCTTAAACATAAGCCGCCTAATAATTCAACTTGTTAGTTCAACATTTGATTTCAAATGATCAATGAAACTCAATGATTGTGAAAATGATATCTCAGCTTGGACAAATCTATGCAAACATGGAAATCATAATTAAATATTCCTTTTGCTTATCATCCACCTCTGCTTCTTTATTCGAGGAGAATATAGTCATTGACACAAGTACAATAAATAAAAATATAAATAGTTGCTCTCAGTTCTCAGTCATACAAAAATTAAGATAAATGAAAAAGAGATAACAAATTGTTGACAAAGCATTAAAAAGAACTATTAATATACGAGGAAGTATATAAAAACAATAAGGTCCCCTCACGAAAATTTGAAGTTACATAGACTTCAAAAACATATTTGAGACAAACAGATAACATAACTCCAAGAACACCACTAATTATATTTCAAAGTAGTTTCCTCAAATTTAATAATCTTCAAGTACCAGCACAGCAGCACCGTTTGAATCACCCAATGATAACAAAACATTGTAATACTTGCTTAACTTGTAGACCTTACTTGTCTGTATTTAACGATCGGAAGAGAACACGTACTATTCCCCTTGGAATATTTAAGGACTCCATAGATTGAGCTGAAAAGGGACAACAAATTTCCATCGGATAATTGTATTATAGTAGCAAAAATAATCCTAAAACCATAAAGTTGTCTATGCCGTCCAATCCTCATACACTACATGAAGAAAAAAATGCATACCAGTTATATTGCTATCTCTTGGAACATCGACTAACAGAGCAGGTCCTGCACAGACAAACAAAATCAGCATTTAAACCAAATGATAGCAACATTATTACATGAATTATAAACTCAGGTTTATTGCACAATTAGGATCTAGACATGTCAGGTATTGCCCATTTTGAATCATGAACCTCATGGTTTTATCTTTAAAAAGATTATTTAGCCTCTCAGTTGGATTAAAGAAAAAAGTGTTTGTAAATTACTCTCATCCTTTATTCCCAAGGTATGTTTGGATTGGTTGTAGAAGACGGAATGGAAAGAGATGAAGTGGAAGAGAAAATTATTCAGTTATTTGGTTTATAAAACTAGGAATACCACAAATTTTTCTCCAAAATTTAGGGTGGATATGATAGAACAAAAAGTTTTCCAATTGAAAAATAATTACTTTATATTTGTAATCTTATCCTATTCAACGGATAGTTTATAAAAAATAAGGATACTAATAAAAAGTTATAACTTACTGTTTCCCCTCCGTCTTGTTTTCATGTAATAGAATCAAATATCTATTTCCTTCGTTGTAAGATGTCCAAACAATAGAATGATAAACACGTTTATTTTCCATTCCTTTTCACTCTCTCTAGTCTCTACTACCAATCCAATCATAACATACGCGATTAAGTGACACTTTTTTGGTGATATTCGATAAAAGAAAAGAATACGAAAAAGAAAGAAATGATAAAAGAAAAGTGACCATTGAGGACGTCCAAGTCGAGTGTGTCGATGTCGAAGCCGGCGTCGAGGTAGTGATCGTAGAAGTGGCCGGGAGAGTCGACGTGCGTGCCGGTGTGGGTTGGGAGCTTCATTTCGGAGTTGTTAGCAATGGAACCGTTCTTCATGCTCTTCGGAAGCCACAGGAACTGCCCTATGCCTTTGTCCGAACCATATTCCGGCATGTCGGGGTGGTAACGATGACTGATGTCGAATATTCGGCCATTGCCGTACACTTCCCGGCGCGGCGGGACCAGACTGTCGTCACCGTGGACCGCCAAAATCGCCACCGCGAAGGCGCACGCAACCACTGACAGCAACGCTCCACGCTTCATAGTCAGATTTGTTCTGAATGTGGCCACAAAGATTCTGTCACGCCACAGTATATGAGTCCATGTCCATTCCTCTCACTCTTGGGTAGGATATATTTTCCTCCACACATTCAGCGCTTTATTTATTGATTAATTGAAAATAATTTAAATATCATGTTTAAGTTAATTATTGAAAAAAATATAATTTTTTAATTATATAAATTATTATTAAAAAATTATATATTTCGTAGCATATATTTTAAGTAATTGATATATTTTTTATTTATTAATATTTTAAAAAAATATCCTTGATGTTGAAAGAGAAGCTTTTATAGTGTTTGATTCCATGACTCGAATTCTTCATAAAAAAAAATGATGATTTGACAACTGACATTTCAAAAAAACTCCTTCCGACAATCAATGTATTATTTTGTTATTATTTATGGCGATAGATAAGGCCTAGGGAATTCAATTTATTAACATTTCTCTCAATAAAAAAAATTATGTTTTGAAAATTAATATTTTAAAAAATATCATCCACTACTTATTATATTATTATAATAATATCATTTATTATCATTTATGGTGGTAGATAAGAAATACGGGATTTTAATTTATGAAAATTTTTTGACGGTGACGTGATTTTTTTACAACTAATATTTCAAAAAGAAACATATCATTGTCACAATAATATTATTTATTATTATTATTATTATTTATGGTGGTAGATAAGATGTACGGAATTTCAATTTATCAATGATGGTGACATGATGTTTGACAACTAATATTTTTAAAAATATATTCCGACAATAATAGTATTATTTATGGTGGTAGATAAGGAGTACGGGATTTCATGTTATCAACACTTTTTTTATGTGAGAAGAAGAGGTGGGTATTCATTCCATGGTCACCTTATCTCTTTATAACTTATTTCAGAATAAAACAGATAGAAAGCTCTCAAGGCAATTTTCTCTGCAGACAAGGAGAAGGTGAGAAAGAAATAGAAAAACCCCTAACTTTGTGAAAAAAAATAAAAATAAAAATTGATTTGTCGGCATGATTTTTTTTAAGTACATTTGTTTATAATAATGTTAAATAATTAAGAAGATAATAATATTAAAAATATTAAATAATAATTATTAAAATTATTACTAACAAATAAATTTATTTTAGTTCTCATGGTACCGTACTTAACAAAAAAATTGTTTTCATATCATATCATGAACACAAGTTATCAAAATTGATGGATCGATCAACCCTGACCTATCCTTACTGGATAAGCAAAAAAATTAGTAATTCGAATTTACGGATCATAATTTTATGTTAGACTAATATTTTAATGGATTAATTTTAATATAATTGAAAATTAATAATATAGTTTTACAAAAAGAATTAATTAAATATTAAATATTAAAAATAAATAATAAATAATATATTTTAAACCTTAAATTATATTAATTAAATTAAATTTTATTTTAGATATGATAATTTAATATATGAATTAAAAAATATATTTATTTATTGTTAAAATAAAATTTAAAAATTTACCTCTTTATTGAAATAATAATATATTTTAATTCTTAAACACTGTTAAAAACTTATTGTTATATTTATTTTTATATAAATAATTTTTTATAAAATTAATTTATAACATATAAATATTTTTAAATAAAATAGTGATTATTTTTAAAATCGGTCATAAAGTTTTACGTTAATCTAACTAAAGTTAATTTAAATAAAACTAGTTATAATTGACTTTATTCAATTTACACTACAGATTTTTTTATCCTAATTTTGTTACAATGATGAAAAATATTCCTAAACGTATTTATTAAGATCTCTAGTTTGTTATCATATTAAATAATTACGAATTAATAAAAGTAATAATTTTGAATAATACTAAACGAGATACATAAAACTTATTTAAGTTATTTCAACAGTTGATTTTTATATATAGTTGGTATAAAGTATTAAAAAAACAGTTTTAACTTATTGGACGTCATCTTAGATGGATTTTTAAAACAATAATCGCAAAAGTTTATTACAATCCGCAACTGAAGTTTAACCATAGAGTAATTGATAACAGTTATTAAACAAAGGGCACAGTACGTCCAAACCCAAGGAAGGAAAAGAAGACAATTCAACGTACTACAATCAGCTTAGCCAGCAATTTGCATCAAACTGCTTCTTGTGGACACCACTAATTATATTCGGATTCGGGCTACGTTGCGGCAGTTTCGCACTTGAGCATCAGCATTTTGACAAAATAATAAGGATAAGGATATTGCACAGAAACAGCATGAAAAACATGGCACATTCTCGCAATATCATCATACAGTACACTTGAAAACCAGGTTTCACCACAAATTGGCATGGACCCATCATCTGCTCAGAATGCATCGAATAGGTGATGCCTCAGAGTGAACCAACCTAAGAGGCAAGCAACTGAGTGAATATACTCCCACTGGGACATCATCAAGCTTCAGGCCTTCCACCAGAATGATCTCCTGAAGCGTTTGAAATTTGTCATTGCATTGTTTATTTTAGCTACTATCCAAGTCACAAATGATGCAATTTTTAATTTTTCTTTCATAGGAAGTCAAGACATATCCTAACAATCTCTTCTATTACCACAACTGCATCTTCCACAGATTTAAACTACAAATATCTTTCCAAACAAACTACAGATTATTTGTCTAGATGCAATAGCCTCTAAGATAAGAATGTAAACGCACCAAAAATTTGGATAAGGTAATGCTGGAACATTATGTAAGATGAATCAACTAAAGTAACCATTACGATTTAACAAAAAGGACAGGTTAAGAAGTGGAAACTAAAAGTTATCTGCTAGAGCTGATAAATCAGACCAGCTATAAATTTCTATTAAGAATAATGAGTAGAAGAATTTAGAAATAGTAATAGTTATTAAGTTATTCTTAAGATTCATAAAGTTTATACGTAACTGAAAAGTTTAGTTAGGCATAAAAGGAACATTAATTTGAAAAGCACAAACACAAAAGCAATCCAATACAAATAGCTATTTTCCCTGAATAAGTCAACAAATGATACAGATAAATTGATATTGCCATTAACATGCTGGAAACACTAAATTTAAATGACATTCACTGACAACGAGAGTACCAAAATCTGAGTTTAGACAACAAACCCACATTACCAACACAAGTGCAAAAGTTTAACAAAGGAAAATGATGCCGAATGTTAGGCACTAATTAACATATTAGGGTCTATATCTTATTTGTAGTTTTATAGTTTTTTCTACACAAGATAGTGAGTGGAATGAGTAGCTTGTTATTAACAAGGAGCGACAAGTGCATAAATTTCACCATAAGGCAGAGAGTTTCTTACCCTGCTTTCCAGAAAAGCAAGATGAGATGGAACCGAGTGATCATAAGCAGCAGCAGATAAGTAATCAATTCCTGCCATTTACATAAAAGGAAATTGAAATGAGTGGAACAAAAAGTAAGTTTAAAAATGTGACCAGGAAACCTATCTAACTAAATGACCCCACTTTATTAAATGAAGCAATTAGAAGATTGATTAATAAGAGGAAAATAAAAATGCAGACTTGGATAAGGAACCCAGTCCTGAGTGGAACAAGAGACATAGGAAAAGCTTTAGGGAGCGAATCATGTATATCTTACCTACTAGTTTGATGTCAGTGTTCTCTACAAGCCATTTTGCACCATCCTCCTTGAATCCCACATAGCTTGTATCAAATTCTTTCTTAAACATGAGTCGCCTAACAATTCAACAGTGATTAACTCATATGTAGTGTCTAATAAAAAAACTAAATATCAGTATACTGTTTAAGCAAAATGTTGAAATTGCAGGATAAAATTATATTATTATTTATTAATCATCAAGATTAAAATACCTGATCAATAAAAAAAAAAAAAAAAAGTTAAATATGTTTGGATATAGGGAAGGGAAGGCACTGTAAACATTTTTATTTAAATTCATATTATTCAAAACCCTCCTCTGCCTTGCATTTCCCTCGTAAAAACCATTTAAACGTTGGTAAAATGGTGTTTACCAAAGTTCAATAACTGAAAAGCTACTTAAAATCTCTTAACTTTTCTTCTTAATTTATTTTTCATAACTTTATTTTCCCTAATAAAGTTTACCCATTTGAATCATGCATGTCTTTTTTTTTTTGTATTTCTAATTTTTAGTTCATATTGGCTTAGAAAATTTCTTTAACATAAATATCTATGAACTCGGTTTTCACTTTGCAGTTCTCCAAATGCCCATCAAGAATCAACAAATCATTATGCATCATTGGTAACTAGCCAACTTGATACTTCCACCAACCGGCCACCTCCTCTCCATTCTCTAAATTCTAGTACCCTATCCATAACGGACCATGCACATAAAATGAAGGAAACTATAATTACGGAACTACCTGTGTGCAGGTTAACATATTAGATTCACAGCCACACAACAATGACTGAATTTGAATTTTAAAGGGCAACCCAAAATTGAATTTGAACAGAAAAGATACCAAAAGACTGAAGTCGTAAACAATTGCAATGCAATTTGTAGACAAAATGGTTGTTGCCTCCATTTTCAAAACTACGAGATACAATGTAACTTCGGAATTTGGGAACATATGGTTTTTTCTTTTAAAAACTCATTTTCATACATGCAATAACATTACAAGTAACTGTTTGAGCTGATAGTCTGTTAAATTCATAGAGATAATTATAAAGATAAATATTGTAGTAATCTAAAAATAATGATGTATAAACACATTTCAATTTCATGTACATGCCAGAACTATGAAGCTGCGTCAGATAAGCACTTTATAAGCAACTCTGAAGAAACTTTATTAAATTAACATGAAGAAAATCCTCCTACAGTAGTCATTTTACATGTAACCTACACAACTCACCTGTCTGTGTTTAAAGTTCTGAAAAGCACACGACGTACACCTCTAGGGATATTCAAGGACTTCATAACCTCAGCTAGAAAAAGGAGAAATTTGGTAATGCTTCAATTAAACGTGACAAATGATAACAAGGATAAGCTTGCATTTTTGTGACAGGTATTCAAAGTAATATAAATAAAACTCAAAAAACAGTATGAACATGGGAAAGTAAAATATCAACCCAACTTCAGGCTTAAGAATAGCACGGCTAAGACGAGCACAACTTTCCAACATATTTACTGTGTAGGAAGGTCTAGCATTAAGACATTGTTTGAATAAACTTCTTTACAAGTATTCAAAAGATAATAAAAAAGAAGGTGAAAAGAATTATGCAATCAATTTATGCACTTAAAAATTATAAAGGCTTTTTCATCTAACTTCTCCAAGAAATAAGGTGCATAAGTTGATTTTAGCATATGAGGAAAGTTCAAGGTATTTTACTAGTTTATTTTCATCTCCTGCGAATGTTTATGAAAAACTTAATACAAACAGGATTTCATGTGTAAAAAAAATTGTGAGTTAATCAGAACAACAAAAATAGCATACTCATTCAGTACACAATACGCAGGATGCAGCAGCTCAATAAAAACAAAAAACAAACAAGATCATCAGTAGCACATACCGGTAATGTTTTTATCCCGTGGAACATCAACCACAAGTGAAAGGCCTATGAACAGAAAAAGCAGTGTATCAGTTGTCCGCATCTAAAACTAACTGGTAATCAACAAAAACAGCATTTAAAAAATGAAACCAAAGGAAAACAACAGAAAATTAACAATATAATAACATGAACGAAAATAATCATTTAATTTTTCGAATCTGAAATTGAGTTGAAGAAATTGACAAATGATGAAGGTTGCAGAGAGAGAAAGAGAGAGTGAGAGAGAAAGTGAGAGAGAGTGAGAGAGAGAGAGAGAGAGAGTATCGAAACGTTACCATTGAGGACTGTTAGGTCGAGTGAGTCGACGTCGAAGCCGGCGTCGTAGTAATTGTCGTAAAAGTGACCGGGCGCGTCGACATGAGTGCCGGTGTGAGCACCAAGCTTAAAAATGGAGTTGTTAGCGCGCCAGCCCTTCTTCATGCTAGTTCCAAGCCACAGAAAGTCTTGTCCGAGCCCCTCCGTCGAGTCCCAAACCGGCATCTCAGGCACGTACCGGTGGCTGATGTCGAAGATTCGGCCCTCGTCGTACACTTCTCGTCGCGGAGGAACCAGAGCGCCGCCTTCTCCGCGGAGGGAGCAGTCATCGTCGGTGTCGACGCCAGGGATAGAAGGATACGCGGCGGAGTTCGCAGAGACGGAGATGGAATGGGCGAGAATTGCGCAGAGGAAGGCCAAGAGTGATAGAGAGTTCATTGTTTAGTTAGTTGGCTTCAAGGGTTGAATTGGGACGAGATGGATGAATAAAACATCTTCGACTCTATGCCTATTTTATATTCAGTTCTTTATTAATAACTTTGACAAAATGTTTTTTTTCCTTTTTTTTATTTTGTCAACAATAACAACAAAAAACAAATAAATACTATGGTAAGTGATAGGTGGAAAACAACTACACATTTATTGTTTTTACTGAAATTTATTTTTGTCGGTGTAGTTTTGATGTGTATACAAATTTTAAGATAGACTGCATTTACTTGTATTAATATTATTTTAAAATATATTTTTATTTTTATTTTAATAAAATTATTTAAATTATGAAATTTAAATATTATTCGTGGTGGTACGTGTGAGATGTATATAGATAAGGTTTTTAAACAATTAGATAATGTCAATGTTTTTAAGTGGTGGACAAGCATAGAACTTTCTAGAAGTATAGATGGTGATTGGTGTTTTGCATTTTTAAATTGTAGGAGGATAAAAAGTATGTTAAATTTGTTCTAAATTTTATGTTTTTTTCCAATATTTTAAGAATTCATTTTTTAACTATTTTTTAAAATGACTATTTGTAATACCTTTAATATGTCTCGTCATTCATTACACTGTCTTATTTTGTACTATTGGTTATGCATTTAAAGAATAGTCAAAGTTTCTAAAAAAAAACAATTATTTTGGTTCGATGGTTACAAAGTCTATCTCAGGTGTCAACTTCATCCTCTAGATTTATTGTGTTAACATTTAAATAATATTTAATAAGTATATATTAGTTTTTTTTATCACTTTATAAATATTATATGCACCATGTTCATGAAAAAATAAATAAATAGAATTCAAAAACTTTTAATATCATACAAATATTAAATTATTATTATGAATAATACATCTTAAAAAAAATTATCCATTTATTTTTTTAATTAAAATTATTTTTTATACATAAAATTTAAAAATTAAATTCTCTATTTTTTATTTATTTATTTATTATTATTATTTTATCTCTCATTATTTTTTCTTTCTCCTTTTTACTTCTTTTTTTCTACTTCATCTTATTTTTTTAATTAAAAATTAATCAAAAAATATATTAAAATATTAAAAACAATATTAAAAGTAATAAATTATTTATTTCAAAATATGTTTTATTAAATATTTTTTTAACATTATACATAAAAGTTGAATTTATTTCTTTTCTAATTCGCAAAGATTAAGTGTATGTGATCTCCACAAAGACCCACCCGACAGAAAGTTTTTTTTCAAATAGTATGAATAATGATGTTGCGAAGTAGGTACGAGATGTTTTAGTATATTATTTACTGTATCACATAGGTTTTTTCTGACTTAAATGTTAAAGTTTTTTCTTTTTCTTTTTTTACAACTAATTTTTTTTAGATTGAGGAGAAACAATTTAACAACTTAAAAAAAAAAACAAAAACTTGTATGGAGAAAAAATGATCAAAACTCGAATCACTTTTTGGTAAGAGTTCAAGGTTCTTGCCTTTACAATTGAAATAACCATAATTAAATTTGTTTTATGGAAGTATGTTATTAAACTCATAATATCATTTTTTTTCTCACACATTTTAGCATAATAGAGACATAAGCATGGCAATAGGGTAGGATGGTTTTGTCTCTTCAATCAGTTTACAACTTTTTCAATCATCCATGCTTTTATTTTCAATTTTCCTCAGCGTCAAAAATTAAATTATCAACCATATTTTTATTATTTATTTTTAATATCTTTTATAATTTTTAATTATTAATTAAATATATACTTTAATTTATTATATTTATATTAAAAATATATATATATATAATATTTAATTAATATTTTCTTTATACGAATATAAAATATTTATAATAATATTATTATTATTAGTTAAATTATCATTTTAAAATATTTATAAATATAAAATATATAATTTATAAGAAATTATTTAATAAATTAACTTTTATTTAATTAGTTCAAAATAATATTATTTTTAATGATAAATTATTTTTAATCTTTCAAAATATAATTATTTTATTAAGATAAAATTTAATATATATGATAAATAAGAATAATAAAATTAAACAAAATATGATATAATAAATTCTAATAAAAATAAATTAAAAATAAAATAATATTATTTATTATTAAGATTAATGTATAATATTAAAAAAAATTAACTTTGTGTTTGTTAATTTGATTAAAAAAGAAAAAATCAAATTAGTTTAAGAGATTAAAAAAATGTAAATAAAAGTAAAATAAGAAAATAAATAATAATATAATAAATTAATTAATATAAAAAATTGAAAAAGAGTGAAAAATGGACACAAGAAAAATAAATAATGAGATATAGAACTAATGAATTTATATATATAATTTAAGAAAGAAAATAAAATATTTTAAAATTTTTAATATTTTTAATTTAAATTTAAATATAATATTGGAATGGGAGAGATTACATTACCCTTCCCTACTTTTTTAAATGGAAAAAAAATCTAAATTCATCTCCATGTCAATTTAATTTTTCCTTCAAGATGGAATAAAAATTGCATTACCCGTCTCGATATTTATCTCGACTTTTTTAAATTAAAAAAAAAACTTAAATTTATTTCCACTTGTGTGAATTAAATTTTTCTTAATGAAACTTGAGACAAAAGTTCTTATATTTAATTATTATTCCTAATGGTAAACTTAAACACTAACTAATATATCAAAGAATCATGAGAAAAATAAAGGAAAATAATTGAATAAAATGAAAACTAAAAGTAAATTTTATTAATAGTTTGTGATTTATTTATTACAAACATTTACTATTATATTTTTTTTCCTAATAATTTGTAGTGAATTACTACTTGTTGAAACATTAATGTTCAAGCATTCTTCAAACATTTTTGTGTGCAGGATTCCATAGAATCGATGCCAAGGCCACGACAACCTTTGATACAATCATTGACAACGTTCATGGGATTTATAATACATTTGGCACGACACGTAAAAAGACATATTAGATAAGGAACACCACCAGGAATGAGTAGAAGAGGTGCACATTCTAATTCACACTTAGTAGCACAATCGATGATACCAGAAGTACCAATTGACCCTTCTTGCACAAATGAAAAACTCTGATTTGCTTCTGAGAATTTCACCATAACCATCATCGTAATCATAATCGCAACTTTCATAGTTTTCATCTCACTCTTTCCCATTTTTTTCCCTAATTCTGTACAACCTATCTCGGAATTTTATATGAGTGTTGAATTCTTCTTGTGACATTTAAAAAATTCACAAAACATCATTTTATAGACACAAAATAACGTTAATTGATTATATTATGTTTAATAGTAATACTATATATCAAATTTAAATAAGCGTTAATAGTAAAGATGCGCGTTTTAGACCATATTTTACATCGCAATTAAGTTTTGGTCTAATTTGCACGAATAAAATATTGTTACAAGGTTTTCAGAAATTTTTATAATTATAACTTCACCCGTTTTTTTTTCACATTTTTTTTTCTTAACAACCAAATGTAGATTTAGTAATATTATTAATTTCAAAATATATTATGTGTAATAACTATAGTATAAATGCACATTAAGTACACTATACTAAATTTTACATTAAATATAATATATTAAATTCTACATTAAATGCAATTTATTAAAAACTACATTAAATACAATTTATTAAATACTTCATTAAACATAATATGTTATTCTTTCAGTTTGGTTTTACTGTCTCTGTTTATTTTTAACGCATTCTTTTAGAGAAAAAAATATTTGTATTTATATGTAAGTATATTTTTTAATTATTTTTATTATAGAAATAAGATAATTAATTATTATAGTAATTTTAAGTGGAGGGAAAATGTCAAAATATCAAAATAATAAAGATTAACAAATTTATTATAAATTAAATTTTCAACCTTAAAGTTTTGATTGATTTGTTTAATGAGATTTTAAACTTCAAGAGTTTGACTTTGTGCTAGAATTTTGGTACTGAATCTATGTTATGTTATATTAAGTAGCGTTATTTACAAATAATTAAATAAATATTTTTTATTACTTAAAACAAGCTCAAAAGGGAAGATTTTTTTGGGGTTTTTTGAGTTTGAGAGAAGGAGGAAGTAAGGCTTTATGTCCTGTGAGAAGAAGAAAGATTGAAGGAAAATAATAATAATAATAATAATAATAATAATAATAATAATATTATTATTATTATTATTATTATTGTTATTATTATTATTATTATTGTTATTGTTGTTGTTGTGTTTTTGAAAAAACACAAACCTTAGATTTTTATTTTGCACGCTGTACTAGTTAGTACTAAGCTCACTCCTTTTCGCATTCAGTTCATTCATGATAGCGTTTAAGTCAAGCCCAAAATATTTTTGTTATAAACACCCCTCAAATAACTATTTTCACCCCTCAACTGAAAAACTAAAATTAAGCCTAAACCCTAAAACTAAGTAACATACGTTCCAAACACACAATAAATGCTTAATTAAATAAAATTATATCTTAGGCATAAAAATTAATTTTAATTATCACCTTCCAAATTAATTTACATTCTTGTATTAGAAAAAAGAAACGAGTCCTTACAAATTTTCTTAACAAAATAAATATAACAGGATTTATTTCGATATATCAATGGTAAGAAAAGGAAATATTTTTGTCTCTTAAAATAAAGTTATCAATAATTACACTGATTTCCATATTTAGTATAAGTGGAAAAATTATACTTTATTTAATAAAATAATTTCAGTATTAAATGTGTTTATATAGTGAAAAATAATAATAATAATAATAATCTTCGAAAGGAAAAAAAAATAAAAGTATTGTAATTTAAAGAAAAAATAGTTATTATGATTTATATATTTTAAAAATAAAAATATATAAAAAAGAAAAAATATATTTAAAGAGTAACAAAATAAAATAAAATAAAATAAAATAAAATATTTTTAAATAATTAATTATATAAAAAATTGAATTATTATTAT